ATACTTTGTTCCTTACTTGTCGGGCAAGGTCAAGGAAAGGCAGAACTGCTTTTGCAGTGAAGTGGCCCTTGCAGAGCTCCAAACCAGTAGCAGCCATCCACGACCAAAGTAACCCCGAACAAGTTCTTTCCCGTGACTTGGCCCCAATCCGGGGTTACTTTGTTCCTTACTTGTCAAGCAAGTCTGAGTCAAGGCAGAACTGCTTTGCTTTTGCAGTGAAGTGGCCCTTGCAGAGCTCCAAACCAGTAGCAGCCATCCACTACCAAAGAAACCCCGAACAAGTTCTTTCCCGTGACTTGGCCCCAATCCGGGGTTACTTTGTTCCTTACTTGTCAAGCAAGTCTGAGTCAAGGCAGAACTGCTTTTTGCAGTGAAGTGGCCCTGCAGAGCCTCCAACCCCTAGCCGCCATCCACGACCAAAGTAACCCGAACAAGTTCTTTCGCCGTGACTTGGCCCCAATCCGGGTTCCGTACTTGTCAAGAAGTCTGAGTCAAAGCAGAACTGCTTTGCAGTGAAGTGGCCCTTTCAGACTCCAACCCAGTAGCAGCCATCCACGACCAAAGTAACCCCGAACAATTTCTGTCCCGTGACTTGGCCCCAATCCGGGGTTACTTTGTTCCTTACTTGTCGAGCAAGTCTGAGTCAAGGCAGAACTGCTTTTGCAGTGAAGTGGCCCTTGCAGAGCTCCAAACCAGTAGCAGCCATCCACGACCAAAGTAACCCCGAACAAGTTCTTTCCCGTGACTTGGCCCCAATCCGGGGTTACTTTGTTCCTTACTTGTCAAGCAAGTCTGAGTCAAGGCAGAACTGCTTTTGCAGTGAAGTGGCCCTTGCAGAGCTCCAAACCAGTAGCAGCCATCCACGACCAAAGTAACCCCGAACAAGTTCTTTCCCGTGACTTGGCCCCAATCCGGGGTTACTTTGTTCCTTACTTGTCAAGCAAGTCTGAGTCAAGGCAGAGCTGCTTTTGCAGTGAAGTGGCCCTTGCAGAGCTCCAAACCAGTAGCAGCCATCCACGACCAAAGTAACCCCGAACAAGTTCTTTCCCGTGACTTGGCCCCAATCCGGGGTTACTTTGTTCCTTACTTGTCAAGCAAGTCTGAAGTCAAGGCAGAACTGCTTTTGCAGTGAAGTAGCCCTTGCAGAGCTCCAAACCAGTAGCAGCCATCCACGACCAAAGTAACCCCGAACAAGTTCTTTCCCGTGACTTGGCCCCAATCCGGGGTTACTTTGTTCCTTACTTGTCAAGCAAAGCAAGTCTGAGTCAAGGCAGAACTGCTTTTGCAGTGAAGTGGCCCTTGCAGAGCTCCAAACCAGTAGCAGCAATCCGCAGCCACTTTTTGGAAAAGTAGCCCCGAGCGGTTACTCTGAACGGGTGTTGACTGGGCATATTGCTTTTGAGCGGAAGAGGGTTCGGTTGCATTGATTTTGAATAGCCTTGCCTGGGGCGTGGAATGGTAAGAAGCCGCGCGGATTACGGATTAGGGGGTTTACCCGTTGAAACGCGGATTAAGCGGATTACGGATTGTGATTAGGCCCCCCGGGATTTCGAACAGGCTAGGCTAGACATGATAGATAGATAGAAGCTAGATGGCTAGATAGATCCAATCTGGAGTCAGGCCAGTTGAAGCGTCACTCATCTTCTCATGCTGCACGATGTTGCCAAAGCTACAGCAACGGCAGGCACCTTGAAAGCAGAGCCTTCGGGTGAGCAACCCAGAGTAGCTAGCCCATAGTAGTTGGAGGACCCCCCTTCGGTGCAATGATGGGGTGGGAGATATACCCTTCCAAAGTAATCATATCAATAGCAACCATTTGTTTAATACAATGTCTTAAACCATATTTTTTTGACAACAATACAGTTTGTTTTTTGATGCAAAGACCACGTTCCTTTTGGAGACAAACCGCTCCTGTGCGAGAGAGAGAGTAAGCGAAACGCATCGCGAATCAGAGGGTCCAATGGCAGGCTCTGAAGATGGCGAGGCAGCTTGGGGACCGCGCCCGGGAGATTGAGCTTTGTGAGCCTTGGCTGAGTTGGAAAAGCCCTCGACCAAGGTGGGCTTGTCTCTTTTTGGGGTCCTTCCGGCAGTTTCGCTGAACCAATCCTTTGGGTGGGAAAGGGCTGGGGTCATACTGTTTTGAACGCTTCTAGGGGTTGACTTTGATCATGGCAAAATCATGAGGCCAGGCAGGCCCTCGACCAAGGGCTTGTCTCTTTTTGGGGTGCTTCCATGGCCGGTTTCGCTGAAACATTCCCTTCAGTCACACACGCGAAAAGGACGCACGATCAGAACAAATCCGAGAAAGGAGAAGGTGCCCATTCGGGACCATTCGGGACCCAAGAAGTTTCGAATCAGGATTCAATAATGTCATGAGCCTTGCCCATCGGCGACTTCCACATTCAAAGTTCTGGTTTCATTGTCCTTGCGTTCTCTTTGAAATCGAGCCGCTGGCGACACATCGAACAACTTATTGTGTTCGCTGAAGCTGCTGGTCTCATGATGTTCTCAGAAGGTTACATGTCGTTGCCTGGCTTTTTACGATGCCACTGGCAATATGCAAGCAAGATGTGCGAGGTGGAATTTGACTGCATTTTGATTTACAGGTCACTTGAAAATTTAGCGAGGACTCGACGACAATACAAGAATATATATATATATATATATATATATACATATGTATATATATATATACACATATGATATGTCACAATGTATACACAATGTTTTTGTGAGTATATCACATGCGTGCATGATAAGAGGGTGCAAGGAGGTGTTGATGCAACCATGAGGGCGCCCATCACAGCTTGTGTGCGTAGAGGATCGGTCCAGAAATCGGCTCCGAGAGCCGAAGGCTTGAGCTTCGTTGCGGGGCAACATCCGCGTTCCATCGCTGTGGCAAGGAGATCATCGCGGAAGTGAGCATTGCCCAGGACCGGACATGGTCTTATGCCGGAAGGCAGCCAGCAGGATTCCATTAGGGTAGAACCCCAAAAGGTTTTTTTTTCAGAAGAAGACTAGAAACAGGATGTTGGGTTTTTCCTTGTTCCTTGTTGCCTTAGCCCAACTGTATCGTCTTCACTTTGGTCAACTGGAATATGTGTTGGATCTCCGGACCATGACTTGGGACACTCGGACGTCACTTTCCCAGTGGGTTGCTCAGGGCCTGGGAAGGCGAACGGATGTAACCTAGGGAATATGGTTGCTGCATTTAATCATTACCCATTTTCCAACCACGGAAGTGGAGGCATCTTTTTAAGATGTTCTTCCAAACCCCTCCGATCGTCCACTTCCATCTTTTGAAAGAGGGTACTTGGTGACTGTTGATCCCAGCTCCTTTGGTGAGCAACCTGGATTGGTTGACTTGTTCAGTGGCCTCCTGCCCTTTTTTCTGGCTGCATCCAACAAAAGCACAAAAAAGGCAAGTGAGTTCTCTTGGCCAGTCATGTGAGCCACGCAATGCCCTTGTACGGTATCCCACACTGGCTTGCAGCAGTCCATGAGGCCCATGAAGCAAACACTTCTTCTAGCTAGAAGAAGCTTCCTTTGGAACCGCTTTAGGGTTTGCATGTCATGGGGGCTGGGGGAACTTGGGCCACCGCTGGGCCAGTTGAGTGGGGGTGTCAAACAAACAAATATGGGTGCCACTGAAAATTGGGGGCATGTCCAAACCTGTGGTATGAGACGTTTCTGAGGGACCCGCTTCGCATTCATGCGGGCGATCCAAAACGAGAGAGCTCACCTGGGCCTGACACGAGCCAGGATGAGGGGATTCCTGACTTTTCCATGTAGATGACTTATCTTGGTGGCTCCCAGCCATCCTCTTAGCCTTTTTGCCTTTTGGCGTTTCGTGGTTGGTTTTCCATTTGGCTCACTAAAAGTTCGTCGCTTTGAGCGGATCTGAAAACGGACAGAGTTATGTGTTGCCCAGATTTTCTGGAGGCCTTCAACGCGCGGAGGCAGCAGCGGCCCTTTCAAAGGTGGCAGACAAGAGGGGTGTGTGTGTGTGGCCTGACTAAATTCCCTAGATCGATGGTTTGATTACATGAGTACCCCTATCAGGATCTCACCCCGGGGGCCTGTCGTAGGCTACCCCTCGCATCTAGCCCTCAAAGGGGCTTTTAACGACTAGTCCTAAACTACTAGCATTTGGGGGTTGATCAATATTCCTGCCCCCCCAATGACAATGGGTAACTTTTCCCATTTAGTGGTGAAAGTCACATATTTTTTAGTGGTTTCCGTTTTTTGGTCACCCCATGTAAATTGAACCTTTTGATCAACCCCCATTTGCCCCTCATACCTTGCTGGTGCTCAGCAGGGAATCAGAATGGAATGCCCCTAGAAACCATCCCCTATGGTTTCCTTTAAGGGACTCCCCAGAGGATCGCAGGCTGGGTGCGATTCCGATTCTCACGCGCCAGGATCGGGCCGAAAAGGCTGTGGCAGCGGCCAAGGAGCGGTCGCAGTAGCGAGAAGCGCCTGTGGCAGGGACTTGGACCTCCGAAATGGATTTGGGTCCCTTTCGGTGTCTGTGTACCACTGGTTTTCGGTTGTCCTTTTGTTTTTTTGTTTCCACCCCAAAAAGGGTACCTTGAAAAGACACACACACACACTCACACAGCCGCCTGTAAGCTTTGGGTCCCATTGGAAGTGTCTTTGGCTGCCAATATGTTTGTTGGAACCCCCTACAACTTGGTTGCTCTTTGGAGCAACCTTTAACCTGTATCCTTTAGGGGTGGATGAATCCAGAGGCAAAAGGACCTCCCTTAACTGGATCTGTGGGCATGTATGTGATGGTCATCAACTGTTTCACGTGGGCGTGTTTCCATCGCGCTTGCGGACAAAGGCAAGGGCATGCTGTGACAACCATCAATGTATAGGACGTGGCGTTTAGTTTGGCCGTCAAAGACTAGGAGGAAAAGATGCGCCGGGCTCGATATGGAAGCTGTTGGATTTGGATCATACTTGGATGGTCGACTAAGTTAGACATTGGCAAGCTCCACCTTTGTTACGTATGTATTTCATAGCCCACTAAAAGCAGGAGAGCCGCTTAGGAGGACTCTTGTTAGTGGCTATCACCTATAGGTGTCAACTTCCTTGGCGGACCCAAGTGCTCGGCCCGAAATGCGTCAGGATGCAGCTGCCATTGCTAAGACTCTGGAGAATGAGGCGCTCCGAGTGCACAAAACCATCCTGGATAGATGTGCAAAGCTGGCGAAAGGTAGAGAAGCAATGTTGCAGGCCAAGGTTTGGGTTGGGATTCATGAGTTAACCTCTGCTTAAGTCTGTCTGACCTGTCACCCCGCATGCCACACCTCCTTCTGCCTGGGATGCCAGCTGTTGTTACCAAGCTTGCCCAACCCCGGAAAGGCTAGTCAACGAGTCAACGGTATGTTCTGGTTTGTGGCAGAAAAGGAAACCAAGCTGTGTTGTCATCATATGCAGTCCAAGGATTAGGAAACCCGAATTAAGTTGTCAGCCAGCAGTCTGGTCCAGATATGGAATTCAAATTGAGTTGTCAACCATGATTCTGGTCCAGGATAAGAAAGTCACATTGTACATGATGTCTTCTGAGAAAGGTTCACTGAAGTTCGTATATGGAAAATGACAGCTCCTAGTAATTTCTGAAGACAGCCATAGATGTCCATTACACTTGAGACAAAGGGTGCACCGTCGATTCGCTCTTGTTATGCGCCGGGGTGTTGTTGGGAAACATTTTACATTTTTGCTTACTGTGGCTTGGTGGTTGAAATCCAACCACTTAACTGCTAAATTACTGTTGCTCCCCTTCCAACGTCAACCAAGCTGGATGATCATCCCTGTCCCCAAGTAAAGGAGCTGGTCTGGTCATGGCACATATGGATAACCGGCAACTGACTCTGCGGAAGTCACAGGAAGTGATGGTTAGAAATATTGACCAATCTATGGATAGAGCCAAGGACAGTGCGCGCTGAGTCTCACAGGCCTCATTTAGTGAAAGCATCCTCAATGAAATATAGCTGCTTCAACGAGCCATGCGCAGTTTCGCCAAGTACAAACTTAAGCTGAGACATGCATGGCTTAAGCTTTGAGACAAGCATATTGCTAGCAGGATCAATGATGAAACTCACGTCTGGTCCAATGCCCTGGGACCCACAGGATGGTTCCTAAAGGAAAGCGCGGTATTGGACCCCCAGCCACAGGCAAACCCAACGGATTTTGACCATTCCCAGCGAGAGGTTCTGCTGGCGCGCGCCCAGTGCTGGACGGCGCGCGCCTATGGGGCCTACCAGGCGATTTGGCTTCGAGCGGATTCCGTGGTCTGCCCCTTTTGCGACCAAAAAAGCAAACCAAAAAAGATTGGTAATTGTTCATGTTTGGCAGAACCACTCTTTGGCACCATTTGACACCCAAAACCAGCCTGCACGAATCCTGAGCTTTAAAGGGAAACGGCTTGCAAGCTCGAGTCCCATGAAGGTTCCTGTTTTGCGAGGTCTTATATTTCATGCTGGTGAACTACCTTCACTAACCCAGAAAAAAGTCACAGCCCGGCCGACGACAGTCCTGCAAGTGCTGAGGCCGCTGGGTTCTTGTTCTGCATCAGTCTGATGCTTGGGTTGTGGGCTGGACGTGGCATGCTTTGTGTCAGCAAGTGTTTATTTACTTTGCTTGGTTGTTGTTTTTTCCCCCGCTTCTTTGTTTGTTGTGTTGTGCGTATGCTTGACAGTGTTTGCGAGCCTTTGGACGGATCTGCGGCAGCTGGGCTAGCAAATGAGCAGATCTGCGGTGTCTGGTAGAGCTGAAGAGTTGGGCTTCCTGGTTTGGCTGGTTTGGCTTCGTGGTTTGGAGCTGTTCCTTGGTTGTTTCCCATTTACCCTCTACAAAAGTTAGGGGTTCCAAACCCAACACCACAAATCCAAATCACCACTTAAGGGTTACCAATTCTTAGGTGGCGCACTGGGTTGTCTTCGGTCAGGGTATGGCATGTTCGCTTGGAGAAGTCCAAAGCTCCTGCATACAAATTCAAGGTACATTGAGCCCTCATTGATTCATTGGGGATCAATCAGGTCGGCCCTGAGCCAGAAATCTTGAAAGTATCGTCCAAAAGCCACAGTTGATGTTGAAGGCTCGGTTTTAGATTGCCGGGATTTTTTTCTGAATCCACCAGACCGGCTTCGCCCCCAGACTTGTCCCAGGAGCCGATGATGTCGGGGCCGCACGCGGCCAAAGCGGCCTTGCAGCTCTATGCGAAGCTGGAGAACAAAAGCGGCGAAGTCCAGGCCAGGAGAGCGCGCTACCAACGGGCTCAAAAGTAGCTAGGCCCCCCAGCTAGGTGCCCCAGCAGGCCATTTGAGTGGAAGAGTGGTGAGAATTTGGGTTGTTTTTTTTGGGGACAGATGTTCAGATCATTTCAACTAGGTCCCCCAGTAGTGCCCGTTTACCCTTTTTTGGTTGGGAGGGTTCCCCTACTAAAATAGACAAAAAAGAAAAAGTTGGTACCAACTTATTCTAAGCTCTCTACTGGAGGACCTAGGTAAGAATGGCAGAGCTGACAGGAAGGTTGACAGGTTGACAACTTTCTCTGAGGAATGGCAGCTGAGGAATGGCAGCTGACAAAGTAAGACTGGCAGCGGAAGAAGCCCTCTTTGTACTTCTATGCTTGTTTGCGAGAGGGCATGTTTTGCGACAGGCGATGACAGCTATACACGTTGAGCACTAGTTACACCGAAAAGAGCTAGCGGTGACGACCGTGTCAATGTACAGCAGCAGCGACCCGATAGCATCCATCAGTGACGTGTGCAGGGCGGCAACAGATGAATAGGTGGATGCCAGTAGTCAGCTTCACATACACAGTGGTCAGTGAATGCAAGACTCTAGGTAAAAGGCATTCCGAACTTGAGGAATTCTGATTAATATGGCTATCGTTGCACTAAATATATGTGAATGCTATGGGACAAGTACAGCGGTTGCAGGCAGTTGGCTTTATCGTGTTGCTTTTCGGATGTAAGAGACATACGACTGCAGATGTTACAGAAGCCTTTGTGCTAGGCCATGGCTCATATTCGAGCATCCGTATCTTAGACACCAAAGACGAATTGCATGCAAGATCCAAACACGAGCTCTGATTGATGCTTGAGCTAGCAAGAAGCCGCCGCTGAGTGTGCGCACATGTTTATAGACCTCCACAGATAACGGCCTTTACATGGGTGCACACGGTGCTGACTCAAGGCAAGGTCACATGAGTGTTCCGCGGCGGGACTCCGCAGGTCATGAAAAGGACAGGCTAGCATTCGTGTCAAGCTTATACTGCAGCGATGGCAAACTTCAGTTGGGAAGCTCGGATACTTTGCAGCCTGTTGCAAGTTCACACGGAACATGTGTTGTTTTAGACTAGCGCTTGAATGCGTACCTGGATATGATTGGTTTGATTAGGTTTGTAGATAGGTAACCCTTAATTGATGGTTTGGATTGGTGGTTTGGGGATTCGAACCCTGATTCTTGTGGACGGTACAAGGGAAACCCCTCCCGAACACCACCAAACCACGGATTCGGCTCCAAACCACCCCTTTTAAAAGAAAACTGAATAAAGACTTCCTTTTTTTTCAGATGCTTCTCAAAGCAGTGCTCCCCGTTTCACACCATGAGCTTCCTGTTGGTTTCCCTTTAAATATTCCAACCAACCAGGGGAACTCTCCGATGAAGCTGCGTTTTTGTTTTTCTTTTTCGCGGTCGGAGGCGCTACAGGCGCTGGCCGCAGCCACCAAGGAAGACTTCAGCGACGTTCTGAGGCGCTTTTGTTTGTGTGTTTGTCGATCCGGTTCAGTGGCACCCTTTTGCCCCTTTTTTTAGTGGCTGCCCCACTAAAAATGGTCTTCCCAAAAAGGGTTCCCTTTTTTTCCAGGGTCACTGAACAGCTGAGTTTTTTTTGTCTTGCGGGACCCCACCTGGGTGGTCGTTGCCAGGTTAAGTTGTTGGTAGCCTAGAACCGACTTATTGCCCGTTTCTGATTGAGATGGTAAGCTTTGGGTAGGTTACAACCCACTTGTAAGTGCCCTAAAGCGGATGACTGGGACAAACCACTCACCGAGGTGCAGCACGTTTGGCCATCCACAGTAAGCTAATGCATTGTGTTGCCGCTGCATTGGATGTTAAGCTTTAAACGTGTTTTTCTTAACACCCGGTCAAGAAGCAGGTTGGACGCATCACGGGAAACACCTTTGCCTTTGGCCATGGGTCAACAGCCCGTACCCCCCAGTGAACATCCCAATCCCCACTAAAATAGGTTCTAAAATGCGTGGTGCACCTACCCCAAAATGGGATCCCATTGGTTTTCACCCACAGCTCTTTGTGTCCAATCTTACAGACGCACCATGAAAGACTTGCCGCGGAAGTGGCCAACTTGTTTTGTGTTGGTCGCGTGTTCGGAAGGCGCGCCTTTGTTTTCACAGGAACCTTGAGACGATCGTTTGGAATGTTCTGGACGTGTAGCAGGAAAACGAGTTCTGCCTTTTCCTGGTGAGCTAAGGAGGTCCTTGCGTGAGCTGAGGCGACAACACAGTCAGAACAAATCTCATTGAGAAGCTTCCTACCAAAAGTCAGAATGATCACCTCTCATTCTTTGAGTTCAAAACATGTAGTGATCATGGAGGGGCAGGTCTCACGTCGCCCTTTTTGCGCCAAGCCAGCGCGCGACTCGTAGCCGCCACCAAGTTAGCCACGCTAAAACAGCAGCCATGCAACGTTCATTGGGCTAAGCGGCCTGAGTTGAAGTACTGAACAGGTTTGTGGCAGCGTACTGCGCACTGCGTATTGGCGTGAAGTGGCAAGTTGCACAGTGTTGTTGAGCTGGTTTGTGCCGTTGATTGGCATGTCGTGCTATCAACGTAAGTTTCGGATTGAAACGCAGTTTGCCAGCTCAGAATGGGAATGTAACTGCCTTTGGCTTCCTTTCAACCTTATTGGGTGCTGCACCCCCCGTAGGACCAAAGCAGCCAGAGGCCCCTGTCGGCTGATCCGGGTGCCTGATGCTGTTTGAACCATGTGGAATCATCCTGATTCCGCAACTAAATCGTCTTTTCCCTTTACAACGAACTCTCAGCATGCACCTGCCGCTGCTTGGCTGGTTTCTTTCAAATAGGGTGCTTCTTGTTTTTGAGGCTACCCACAGCCTTGGGGGTGGCTTCGCAGAGGCGAATGATCCCAAGGGGCACCTGGCTTCCCCCTTGCGGGGCAAGGGGCACGGACGTCTTCTTTTTATAGTGGGCTTTTTCGGACAAGCTAAAGTGAAACCAACCCCATACGGAAAGCCAAAAAAGCTTTGAGTTGTTTTTTGTCTTTCTTTTTGACTTTTTTTTCTTCTGTTTTTGCGTCCCTGAGCAAAACAAAATCAGTAGAAAGACACCGCCGGTTTAACCGCCGTGAGTTAAGCTTCCCCGGCCCGGATCCCAGTACGAGCCTGAGCCTGGCAGAGAAGTTTGCCTCCGGTGACAAGAAGGCGGGGGCCGAGTTGCCGTTTTCTGAGCCTGGCACTTCTGAAAATGGCAAAAGAGTCCCAGAAAGAAACTTTGAGCTGGGAAACTTTTGAAAGTTGAGTCCCAGTTTCCGCACAGAGCAGAGCAGTTGAGTCCCAGCTCAGCGTTCAGTTGGCGAATCGAGCTTTTGAGCTGGTTTTCCGATTTTGGTCCATGTGTAGTCCAACAGGTGAACCTTTTAGTCCCAGGTCCTTTTGGCAACGGCAAAGAAGAGTTGTTCATTGTTTACCAAGCCACCTCAGTGAGAAGTGGATAACCTGAGACACAGCCCACTTCTAAGTCCCCCTAAGTGGAGATAGCTCTGTCATGAGCGGATCAAGATCCAAGGGGCTAGCGGATCGGATCAGACCCAACGAAGTGAGCCAGGAGTCCCCATGTAAGCTGATGTGCAGCATCACCTGAGCAAGCCTAGAGCGAGTTTCCAGACGGTTTCTTCTGCGAGCAGTCAGCACAAGCCATGCTCTGGAAAAAAGGGTGCCAGTGATTGCTGGGCCAACGCTTGGTAGCATCTTAATGTTTTGTCCTAATGCTGAAATAGGTATGTGCCGAAATAGGCAGATCCTCAAAATGAGGGAGGTTGTTTTTGGTTTATCTTCACATCAACCTGAAAATGTTACTCTTGAAAAAGGAAAAAGAAAACACAACCCAAATGAAGGTCGAACATTGACCAAGGGTTGGCCTGGGCAAGTTTGGGCGCTCAGTCCTGACATCGAATTACCTCGCAAATTGTTTCACCTTAATTGCTGTAGCACTGTTTCCTCGAACAAGTAGCCCCGGGGTCCAAACATAGCAAGCACCCAGATATGAACAACTGGCACAAGTGCACAGTTGCGTCACGGGGTACTAACGGGAGGCCCGCCGAAAATTGGATCCAATGGGCAGGAGGAGGCGGATTGCTTGCTGGTGGCCGTGTCTTGCTGGGAAAGCAGCGACTTGGAGCAGGCTCTGCGTCTGGATGCGTTTTTTTTTTTTTTGTGTGTTGTCGAATGGGTCAACTCTGGAGCTTGTAACGGGGAACGCTCATTGCTTTCAGAGACTTGGAAAGCGAATATGTTTTTTTTTGCAAAAAAGCCAAAGGACGTCATCTTACAAGAAGTTTCCTGGGAGAGTGCAAGTCGCTTTGGCATGATACTGAGGGCCAAACTGCTGCACCAGTTGAAGGCCTATGAATATGTCCATTCATGGTGTTAAACATTGTGTTTGCACAGTTTTCTCAATGACTCAAGCACCGATGGTCACAGCCCAAGCACTCCAGTTGGGAAGCGGGTTGCTTCTAGGGCAAAGTGGAAGATCACGGCCAGACGTGCAAGATGCATTCTAAGTTCTTACCGGCCAAACCTCGGCGGGTTTGATGCGAAGTAAGCAGGGATCCCTTGCCGGTTGTTTTTCTTGCCATCCGGAACCAACCGAAGCGATGCGAGTGAAGTATCATTATGTTCAGTTGCACCTCAGAGTGGTACTCTGTGGAGCATAGATGCACAAGGCCTGCGCTACCTTTGCTTTGTGCTTGTGGCAGCTGTTGGTGTGTAACGATTTGTTGATGCTGATCCAACAACGACCGCTTTTTGGATAGACCTTCCGGGTTTGGACATGAGTTAGAAGATGTTGGCCAATTGCCAGCCTGTATATGCTGAGAATACTTCATTGCGGCTGGTTTGCATGAAGGCAGCATGAGCCGAGGCGTAGATTGCCGACTCAGAGTGACTTCCGCGCTGCCTAACCCCCAACAAATGCGTCCACACGATGTATGTGTTCTCACAGAACTGTGTGCTCAGGTTTGAGCAACAGGTTTGATGGGGAGGCCCTTGTAGTAGCACAAAATATGTCGCTGGGATGCGTGTGCGTGGGTGGTTGGTGTTTGTTGGACATCACGCAGCAGTATTGTGTCTTCCAAGTTTGAATGAGACTGCGTGATTTGAGGGGACCACCCAAGCAGGACATGTACCAAAACACAGAATTCTCACTAGATGCATTGAGCTTTCTGGTTAGAGGGTTGGTGGTGAGGATACCAGCATTAGTTTTGCGGGCGGACTTGCAAGAGTTCAGGGAAGAGCAGTGGATTTCTTGTCAATTTTTGTAGAATGGATCCATTGGAAAGGTAAGGCGCCCAGCATTTAAATCTATAAACGCCAGAAACCTACTGTGGGTGGACGAAATCCTGCACCTAAGAAACCTTGGAAGGATGATTCCCCAGTAAATACCAACCAATAGTTGTTTTCCACAGGTGCAGGATTCTGTCCATCCACGTATTCCGTATTAACACTTGCCTGCTGAGTTGGCAAACTTAAACCGTGCTGCAGTCAACCCAGCAGGTCAATACACCCGGTACCAGGTATCCTACACCTCCAAACCACCAATCTCCCCCCTCAAAAAAAAACTAAAGAACAACGAGAAGGGTGGTTTTCCCGTTGGTTCCCCTTTAAAGCCACAAAGAAAATGGAAAACGCCTCGCGAGAAACGCTGCCGGGCGGTCGTGTCAGAGATTTCCGGCGAGGCGCAGCGCATGGCGCAGCGCGCGCTGAGTGCTGCCAAGGCGGGCGGCCGGGGAAGCCAGGCGCAGGCGCTGCTGTGCTGGGCGCGGCTGGCGCTGAAGCGCCAGGACCGGGGACCGGGAGCGAGCGCGGCTTCTCGGTATGGAACACCTCCCCTAGTCTTTGGTGCATTTTGCCAAGGGATGTTAGGACTGAATAACTTTTTGCCAACTTTTGGATGGTGTTCCGTATTAAACCACTAAAAGTTAGCCACTGTGAAGCAGGGGAAAGCAATCGAGTTTTTAATACACCCCCGTTCATGAAATTGGGGGTGTCAACCTGGGTTTGGTGGGGATTGTTGGCTTTTGGACGGGAACACCCTCCTACTAATAGACTGGGGTTAGGGGCAACGTTAAGGCGAGCGAAGGGACCGCAAGCGCGTGGAGGGATCCATGGGGTTGCTATATACTGTGCATGGACAAAAATGCCGCACCGCTTGGAAACTATGGTTGAAGCCATTGTTTGTTGGTAAATCGAATCTTTCCCAGGATTTCTGAACGGTGGTGCAGGATTTCCTCCATCCACAGTAGAAGGAAAGCCTTCACCCTTTGCACTAGTAAAGCCCTGGATGATTTGTGGGGAAGCCTTTGTAGTATATCACGTAGTCTTTGATGATTTTGGATGCGGCGAAGGTATTTGCACATCAACCAAGCTCTCACACTGACGCTGGTAAACAGCCGAGAGCCATGACCTTCAAAAGAGCGTGTTTCTGGCGCTTGCAAGCTTTTGAGCATTAGGATGCCTCTGCTTGTTGGCTTTCAAAAATATTCCCTCCCACCCTTTTCACATGGAACTGTGTGACGCAAAAAGGATAAAGGGGAATTGGTCCTGGGTTGGACCATTTGCCTTTTAAAGGGACCGGGTCCCTGTCCCGAACGTCAGTTTTTGTGTGAAAAGGGTGGGAGGGAACGAAGCTCAAGGCCTTGGCTTATGCGACCGCCTCATCTCTTCGCTTGGTGAAATCCATCGGAGGAGCCGACCGAGGCTTTGCGGATTGCATCGCAGGCAGGGGGGATGCGGCGGCGTTTGGCAAAGCCCAGGTCCCTGCTTTTGTTAGAATATGGGGGTCTTAAAATAGGGGACGCCCGAAGTGATGTCTTTCCTCAGTTGTCCAGAAGAAAAATAACAATCTGCCAACAGATTCAAAAAAGGACACCCATATTCTGCGCGCAGGATATTTGATGTTGACAGGAAACCAACAGGATGGATCGGCTGTTCCAAACCCACAGTTTAGCAGCCATAGGTGTCCTTTTTAGGTTAGTTTGGTTAAACATAGAAGGCACTGGTTTAGATGGGTTTTATTCCATTTACCAGGGAAACCCATTAAAAGGACACCTATGTTAGCACCCATTTCTCTAGCCGGCCTGCCCCCTTTTTCGCAGCATGCGTGGTTCTGTCGGACCCAACTGGTTCCTTCAGGCTGGCGTTGCGCTGGGCAAAGAGACCTGGGACACTCAGTGGTTCAATTCAAGCATCCGGGAAATACCCTCGCACCAACTAACATGGAACCTGACGTTTGGGGGTTCCTGGAATTCCGTTGTCCTTTTAAAGGGACCCCTGTCATGTTCCACGTTTATTGGTGGGAGGGTACCATGCTCATGCGCTAGGGCCGAACCTGTGAAATACAGGGATGAGCAATGGTTGGTTTGCGTTTTTTACACCCTGTTCCGAGGTACCGTCAGTTTCTAGATGGATCTTGGCGCCACGAAGTGATTTACCTGTGGCAGGTGGCAAAACAAAGCTGTGCAACAACCGCACGCACTGATTGATGCCTGTACCTGGAGAGGTTGACCAAACGATGTTTGGTTGCTTTGTCGATTGCATTGGATGGGCAGGGTAAGATTGGATTGACGAATTGGTCCATGTGTTTGTTGTTTGGATTTATTACATGCTGCAAAGGGGTCCCGAGTTTGCTGCCAGGTGTGTTGCAAGTTGCCCAATTTCGGCCTCCAACATTCTACGCCTTTCTACAGGCGCCCTGTGTACATGTTGAATGAAGTTGAAAGAATCAATATGTGGGCGTGGCTCGAATATCAGGGCCCAAAATGGAACCCTGGCGAATGAAAAGGTACGACTGACACCTGCCCATATTCTGTGGGTGGTTCGCACCGGCCACTTACTACATTGATGGTGGCACCATGTGGAGCTTGATCAAAAGGTCCTTTACATAGGATGACCATTGGTCGGATGTTTCAACCACTAAATGGGAAAAGTTACCCATATTCAAAACTGGCGGCCTTTCACATAAATTTGATCAACGCCCCATTTTCGCATGGCAGTGCCAGGCTGGGGGCATCTTCAGGAACGAGCCCTTCCAGACGAAGATCATGCGAGACGGGGAGATCGAATGCGTGGAGATACAGATGGATTCACATGTGATGCTAGGCGCGGGCCGGGGCTTAAATGGCAAGCCACGAAGCCCCTTCCCCATTCCACTCCCCACCCTCTACCCATCAATTCACCCCGACCTCCCACCCTCCACCCTACCCCTCCACCCATCATTGACCTCTACCTCTCCACCCCTCCACCCCTCCACCCCTCCACGCCTCCACGCCTCCACCCCTCCACGCCTCCACCCTTCCACGCCTCCACCCCTCCACCCCTCCACGCCTCCACGCCTCCACAACCCCCACCCCCCATCCAACCTAGACCCAGGCAATGCGGAGGAGGCCTTCCGCCTGGGCCTGGACCAGGGCCGCAGGTTCAAGCAGAACGACCAGCGCAAGGCCGAGGGCTGCGTCCCGCCCTCAGATCCGCAGACCTCGGGGACCTCGGGAACCCTCGAGCCCTCGGAAGGCAAAAAACAGAATTTGGGTGTGGAGCTTGGAGCAATAAAAAGCAACTCACGCACCCTGAGCTTATATCCGGACTTGAGTCACTTCTGGGGTTTGGACCATGTTCGTGGTAAAACAGACACTTCCGACTGTTTTTGTTGGCCAATCCACTCGGGAAGTGAGGCAAATAGCAAGTGTAACTTGTTTTTGTTGCCAATCCACTCAGGCTCGGCAGGGGAGGAGCGTCCGGTTGCTGGCCCTTACAAGTTAACCTATAGACCATTATAGAACCCACAAGAGGAGTTCTGAAAAAGCGTCGGTTCCTCAAAGACGATGACCCCCATGAACCATCCCCTCATGGCTTCCTTTAAGGGAATCCCCTTCCAATTCATGCCCAACACCCGGACTCGGTCATTCCCTACCTATCGCATCAGGCGATTTTCGGGTCGTGGAAAACTGCAGAGGACCTGCGATTCGCGCGAGGTCCTTCTGAAACTCGCCAGCCTCCACCAGATGCGCTTGGAAGAGGAGAAAGCTCTGAAGGCTTACTGAAATCCGCGGGTTTTGGACAAAGCCGACAAATTCTATAGGGGTCGTTTTTTTTTTGAGGGTACGCTGTTGGTCTCTTTTTAATGGTAACCAAAAGAAAACCAACATTTGTTTGCTTTTGTTTTATTTGTGGGCGGGAGGCTTAAACAAAGACAGACTCACAGGAAGTTCAGCAAAGCCCTGGTATAGGTATAGGGCGAATTGAGCTGAAGTCTTCCATATCTGTTTAAGTGTGTTTTCCGGTGTTTGTATGGTGGGAAAAAGGGATATCAAAAGGAAAGCAAGACATTTTGTGGAGGGGTACTTAGCTTTATGTCTAGAAGCAGCCTTTTCTTAAAGTATCTTTGACCCGTGGTCGTTCGACTGTCTAGCGGCGGCGCTCAGTTGTATTTTGTTCACTGTTGAGCTTCCCTTGCATGACTCACACAGAACGGCATGCGATCTTTGGTCCCAGGGGCATCAAGTGTGCAAATCAGCGCCTGACTCCTTAGAAGAACTTGCGCCGTTTTTGAGGGTACCCCTGGTTGGTGGTTGAAAAGGGACACCAAAAGGAAAACCACCATGTAGGGATTCCCATTAAGAAAGACACCCGCTTGTACCCTCTGAGCTGGTGGATGTCGCGACAAGAGTTCATCCCGTTCCTTGGCTCCTCACGCTCGTACCTCCTCCAGACCCCACTTTAGGGGCCATAGCAACAAACACAATGGCCCTGGTTGACCTGGTTGTTTTCAGGGAAATCCATTTATTTTCAAAAGGAAACAAGTCACTGGACCCCCTGTGGTATCTGAAGGGAAACCAAAAGGAAACCAACCATTGAAGCCCCTTTGCTGGGTATCTGAAGGGAAACCAACATGAAGGGAAACCAAAACTTGGTGGCTCCCAGCCATCCCCTTAGCCTTTTAGCCATTTAGTGTTTGGTGGTAGTTTCCATTTAACCCACTAAAAGTTGAACTTTTAGCGGGGGATCTGAGGGCAGCCCAGAAAAGGAAACTAAAGGTGCACCGTCGCCATGTTAACAGGGGTCCCTACATGGCTGTGGGTCAAAATCAATGGTACCGTTTTGGGGTTGGTGCACCACCCATTTTCGTCTATTTTAGTGGGGATTGGGATGTTCACTGGGGGATAACCGGGATTTTGACCCATGGCCATATGGGTGGGTGCTTTTTGAGGGTCCCTCCGGTTTTTTGGGGTTGGTCCAAAGCGAAAGGCAACCTACCAGGTCTACCTGGGTGCTTTTTGAGGGTCCCTCCAAAGCGAAAGGCAACCTACCAGGTCTACCTGGGTGCTTTTTGAGGGTCCCTCCAAAGCGAAAGGCAACCTACCAGGTCTACCTGGGTGCTTTTTCAGGGTCCCTCCAAAGCGAAAGGCAACCTACCAGGTCTATCTGGGTGCTTTTTGAGGGTCCCTCCAAAGCGAAAGGCAACCTACCATTTTGGTTGGCTCCCCTAGAATTGCAACAGTTCCTACCATTTTGGTTGGTTCCCCTAGAGTTGTAGGAGTGTAACATGGGGTCCTAAATTTCCGTTTTGGGCCCATGAAAGCTGAGTGTCCCTTCAGGTGCTGCTCTTCGCCCCTCGGCTCTTCAGCATCTCCGGGGATCGCTTGCTGGAGGGCAGCGCTTGGGAGCGCATCGCGCGGCAGCCCAGCAGCTGAAACAAACCCCTGGGGGTGTTTGTTTTTTTTTCTCAAAAGGAAAGCCAAACGGAAAACACCCATTTTGGGGGTCCCCCAAAGGAAGACACACCCACATGAATAATAGATATAGACATATATCTATGTATGTATATATAGAAGGCACTGCTGGTGGCACCTCAGAACAGCGTTCAGGCATTCGCTTGGAGGATCAACAGGGCGCGTGTCAGGCGACACGGGGTTTATATATATATATATATATATACACATACCTGGGCCCTCCTAAGTATGCCTTTTTTGTGCTGTTTGGGCCAAAGGCTCCTTTTGGTGCAAACGACACATTTTTTGCCTCAGTGCATATATTTGCGTATTTTGGTGTTTTGCGAAACCAGGATGAAAACGAAAAGGCGACATTGCCCGACCCAAAGGCGACATTCCCCGACCAAAAAGCGACATTTGCCGACCACGTTTTGGCAAGATTTAGAAGCAGCACTTTTAAAAGGAAAAGGCTCTTTTTGGAGCAAACGACACAATATATAGCTTTTTCAGCAAACGGCAGAAAAAATGCACACCTGGAGGGTCTAGGTATGCTCCCCCCCCCCCCTGACGGAACACCAGACGGAAGACCGCCATGTTTGGGGGTCAATGCCCAATCCACCGCGCCCAGGCCCGGAGCTACCTGGAAGCTGGGGATGCCGGCAACGCGCTCCAGGCTCGCCGACGAGAGCTGGAGGGTGGATGGACGAAATCCAGATGCGACGGACAACAAAAACACGAGGAATACTTGGATAGACCACTTGTCAAGTGGGCCAGGGAACGGTTTTAACGGCTTGCAACAAAGGCTATCGAAGTACCCGGCTGGCGGGCAACTGGGATGCAGATCGGTGGAGCTCCTCGAGGTACTGCGATGGATGCAGGCCCCTTGCCGCCGGAATGAATTGTCTGTTCCGGGACTCGATAAACTCCCCAAGGTTCTCAAGCGCGTTGGCAAATCCGCCCGGCCCGAAATGCGGGAAGTTGCGGAACGCCGCGATGCCTGTCTTTTGAGCTTCACGGACAATCGATGCTGTATCCACAGGGGAGGGGTCCTACAAATGGTGGTTATCATGTTGCTTTCGCTACAGCAACCTAAGTATATGTGTGTGTGTGTTGTGTGCGTGTGTGTGTGTGTGTGTTGTGTGTGTGTGTGTCTGTGTGTCCAGATGCAGTTGTTTCCTGTTTGGTTCCGCCCCGAAAGAGGGCACCCCAAAGAAAAGCATTGGCATTCTCTGTCTCTGTCTTGGTCGTGTCTTTTAGCTTCAAAGCCAAAACGCCGAAATGCACCCAACGCTACACAAGTAACTTGGTTAACCTGACCCTAACCTTTGAACCCCCAAAAGGGTCAGGTTACTTCCATTTGCTTAGGAATATTGTTTATTTTCTCCCTGTTGAATTGAAAACGGAATCTATCACTATTGGAAATATTTCTTTTCCAGGGGGCCTATCCTCCCTCCAACTAATATGGTACCTGACAGAGGCCCTGTTGAAGAGGAGATCGATCTTCCAGGTACCCTCCCACAAATGCTATGTTAGTGGGAAGGGCAGGCCGATGCCAGAAAAGCCGTGCGGTTTTTGGTCCAAGCCCAAGACTCGGCTCTAGCTCTGCCAAGAGCTGAAGCTTAGGCCACGGAGCAGTGCGTGGGCAGCTTCCGCAAGGTCAACAGCCGCAGCTGCCGGGGCCGCGCTGCCCTGCTCAAGGCGGACGTGCACACGGCGCTGGTGTCCGTGCAGCAGGCAGTCGCTGGTCGCAGCTGGTCAGCCGCGGTTTCGGCCTCCAAAAACGGGACCTGAGACGAGTTCTGCTTGGGGCCTTGGGGAGTTTTTTAGTTTTTTCCCCAACCGCTGAAAGCGACATACAACCCCTAGGTGGCGGTTTGGATTGGAGGGAGAGTTGAACCCTTGGCGTTTGTAGAGAGTAAATGGGAAACCACCGCAGAACCACCAAACCACCAATTAGAGGAAGCTGATATGGGGTGTTTGCCTGGAAAGGTTCTGGGATGAGGCAGCTTTTTTGGAGGGTTCGGTTCCGGAGATTCGGTTGGAATTTCGGGCCTGCTGGGGATCTCAGTTGCTCAGTGGCACCGTTTTGTTCCCTTTTTTTTGGTGGCTGCCCCACTAAGAATGGTCCAAGCCCCAAAAAGGGCTCCCTATTTTTTTTTCCAGGGTCACTGAACAACTGAGGGATATGCCTGTTGGGGATATCTTTTTGTTTGTATGCCCATGTCTTCGGTCCAGTGCAGTTGGGAAAGGATCGACAGGTTGCCATGCTTAGAGGACTCCCGACGATTGGGACCGTGTCGAAGTGACTGCCGTTAGAGGGCTTGGTAAAACAGGAGTATATCACTAGGTCCCCCAGCAATGCCCTTTTTTACCCTTTGGGGGAGGGTTCCCCTACTAAAATAGACTACAGAAAAAAAGTTGGTACCCCTTATCCTAACTTTTCTACTGGAGACCTAGTTCAGCGTCTCTCAAGTTTTGCCCTGGCAGTTAGCTCTGGTTTCCAGATCGCTTCGAGCATGGCACACACTGAAACTCATCCGATGAGATTCACGCTTTAGCTCCTCGCAAGGTGCCCCAAGAATCTGGGTCCGGTCCGGGTGGCAGGCGTTCTAAGGGAGTGGGAGCCCCTCCCAATTGCCAGTCTTCAGGCATATCGCAACTGATTTCCCTTTGCAGTAGCTTTCACAGTCACGGCAAGCAGATCAGCATACGCATATGTTCTCTTACTCGGAATGATCCTCGTCGTTTCTGTCTGCAATGTTTGAGACTCGAAGCTTTGGACTTGACAGACCGCAAAACACCACCCGAGATGAATCACTGATATCTAGCTACTCGTCACCGTACTAGCCACATAGTTTCATGTGGATGTGGTAATCCCGACAGCAGGAAAACTACTTACATGTGCCAGCCGGGTCAAGCATAGTCATGTCAATCGCCTGCTCCATCGAAGAAAGCGGCTTCATTGCAGGTGTTGTACTTGCACCTTTAAGCAGTGGTGCACATGAATCCAAAATGCCGAAAGGTCCATGATTGAAGCTCAAAAGCCAACTCGGTTGTACCAATGACCCCTTGACATAGGTACTCTCGACCTTAGGACCCAAGTCCATAGACGTCAAACGGCCCCTCATAGCCCAAGGTCACTTGAGCCACAATCAAAACTCGGGTAGATGAACTTTGGTAACGGACAATCAACAATCCCAACCATAAATAGTTGCGGATATCCGCCTTTTCAATTCTTTACGTGGTTCTGGGTAGACCATGTTAATACCGGGTTCTGATTATGACTCACAACCATTCGATAGCCGTTGACGCCCCGGGGATTTTTCTTCCCAGGGCAACAGCGTGGAGGCGCTTGAAGCGGCCCAGGCCTGGGGCTTGGCATGGCCCCCCCCAAACTCCCTAAGGTCACGCACGTGCTCAGAGACCCGGATTCGTTCGTTCCTCGAAAGGCAAAACGTGCTGTCCTTTGTGGTTGGTTTGGTTGAAAAGTAATCTACCAGGCAAATCCATCTAGTTTCCAAGAAAGGACACCTAAGGCAACCCATGTCGTGTTTTAAGAAGCCTCTTGGTTTTCCCTTCGGGGGAACAACCTTTCCCAATTTAGACTCACACTCGCTATGGAAACCCGCATGGAAGCGAAATCTGCCGCCGGCCTGGTCCAGACATCCGGATATTTTACATGGCAACAAAAAGGACCACCGAAGCCATTTTGGGGGTCCAAATCCTCAAAAACAGACACCCAACATCTCCCTGTTTTGAGATGCTCAAACAAAAATGTGTGCAGCATCCCTAAGTGGAACCCATATTTGTGAGCATCCATTTAGGGCCAAGTGACTGATGCAATCTTTGGGCGTCTCAGCCCTGTGGATTTTTGGGGGTCCCCGACCGGGGGTTCGTTCCGGGCGGTTTGTTTTTCGCGCAGGAGGCGGCAGAGATGCTGACGGAGAAGGATCTCGCGCTGAAAGCTTTGGCGGTGCAGCTTCTGGCGAGCCCCGGCTTTGCTTTCGCCTAATGTGTTTTTGGGCATGGCATTTTTTCTGGGTAAATTATGACGACCTCACACGACCTCACCCCAAACGGTGGTTTATGTGGGCAATAGCCTCCCAACCACCTTCTTTCAGGTTGGTGCAATATTATAATTCACCCAGATGTTTTGTGGGAACTCTTTCTGGGAGTGTTTTGTTCAGCGGTTCAAACGCTGTGGTCATGAATTATGTTCTTTCGAACCATGGAAGTGGACCGGGGGGGTTCCCCAAAAGTAAAGTAGTTCTACCGCACCTTTCTGTCAGCTTCTATGATTGTTGGAGGGAGGAGCCTGCCTATGAGACATGGACGGGATCAATGGCGCGCTGCGCTGCATTGCAGGCTAGCAATCCTATAGACACAAGCACACCGGAACACCGCTTCTTAGGTGTATCCAACCTGTTGTTTGCTGATGTGTTTGTCTCGGTTTTTTCAGCTTAGCCATGCACATTTGACCATAGCCCCCCAAATATGATTAGTTTCCAGTTGGTTTCCATTTACAACCACCCCAACAAGAGTGCCACACAATCGTTGCTCTCAAAGTTCTGTGCGATCAGCACAGCGCGTTCCGAGTGCACGAGTGCTTGGCCAAGGAACGCGTACCTGCTGAACGGCCAGCCGGAGGCCACTAGGGAAGCAACCAACACGCGATGAAATGCCCGACAACCACCCTACAAGGAAAACATGCTGCAGGCGGATTAACTAGGACTATGCCTTGCACGAAGGAGGGTGGTCATGCGCCTAAGGTGCAGTTCTCTTTCCCTGTCACAGCAGCGCCTGCAACTGTTCCACTGAGACGGGTTGCATTTGTTCGGAACTTGCGGAGCTTGATCTGCAGCGTTGTAGATGTTTGCCAGTTTGATTTTCAAAATGGCTTGACATCATTTTTCATATTAATGTTTGGTGATTTACCAAATGTGGACGACATCTTCATGTGACTGATTTATAAGAATGTAGTGTTGACCCCATATAAATCAACAGGGGGGGTGTCGTGGGGAATCATCACGTTTGGATGGGAACACACCCTCTTACACCGGGCTTGACTAATCCGGGGTCAACATGTCCAGCGCTTGCTAGCGGTATCCGCAGGCAGCGCTGGACCGTGCACGGGAAAGCCAAGCGCTGGAGCAGCAGCAGAAGCAGGCGGCCGGAGAGGCGCGGTCTACAGAACTGCCATCTCACAAAGCAGTTGTGCCCCTTTACCGTTTCTTTTTTGGTTGGGAGGGTTCCCCCACTAAAATAGACTACAGAGAAAAGGGTACCCTTATTTGCCAGCGGGGGCTTCTTCGCGATACCCGCGAAGAGGACGCCTGTATGGCAGGCTGGTGTGAAACATTGCCGCCGTGCAGCTTTCCATCAATGTTCCTTGCTCTTCCCATACAGGTAAATGAAACCAAAGGTTTTGCTCTAGTTTTTGCCTCCCACAGATTCCTTTTTTAATTGTTTGTCTAATTGTTTATTCATTCATTTATCGTATGTTCCGGTATATATTGTATTTATTTGTTTATTCATTTGTTTGTTAATATGTTTATTCGTTCATTGGTGTATTCCTTTTTTCATTATGTGTTTGTTTTGAATTATCCATTTATTTATTAATTATTTATTTATTTATTGATTTGTTTACTTACTCTCTGGACTTCGGCGAACAATTGGCCCTTAGCTTTGGTTTTACCCCAGTGCCTGTGTGGTGCAAGCATTATATATATATATGTATATATATATATATATATATTACGCTTGATTCCTATGAGCTTCGTGGGCATACCATTCATGGGACCCGATGGCACACTGTACTCCTCAGCCCAGGGCCCCCTCGTCCAGTTTTGAGCCCCTGAGTTCGAGAGATTCTAGTAGGCTAGGCTTCATCCCTCAGCTGGCCTTTACCAAGGAATACCGGGCTGGCGGGGGCAAGTGGACGCCCATTTTTTGGGTTCTGCCACTGACAGTACCATGGCTGGTCTCAAATATCCGCATGATGTTTTATGTGCGGTGATAAGCACCTTTGGGCCATGAGGTGATATTTCTGTTGGGGTGGTGGGACAGTTTTGAGTGGAGCCCTGTGTCACTTTGGGGCACCCGCGCTAGGCTATGTCCTTGTTGCTGGAGGCTGGAGCCCATTTAGCGCTGGAGGACCTTCAGCTCAGACGGGAGAGGAAAAAGCGGAAAGCCGAAAACGCGTTCAGACAGAAATCCATGTCCTAGGGGCATCAGGTTGGCGAATGGACCTTTTCATTGAGCGGTTTTCAAGTAGTTTTAGTCATGCCTGTATCTTCCAACGAGCGTTATTTTCTGCTCAAGCTGCTATTTGATACGCTTTTTGTGCTTGCGAGCGTTTTTTGGGCAAACGAGCGTTATTTTGTCTTCGAGCGTTAAACCAGCCAACTGGAAGGCTGCTTCGCAAAGGAATTGAGGCTCCTTTGGAGATCACTTTGCGCAATGCGGTCAATGTGTTGAACAGAGCAGCAGCTTTCCTGGATGAAACGGGGCCGCACAACGAGCGCACATTCCCGCTACAAAAGCGCAATTTCCCGCCACACGAGCGCACATCAAAAAGTGCCAGATTGGCCACGTTCGGTGCCCGCTGCAAAAATCTTGCAGATGAGTAGCAGAAAGACGGAGCCCACATGAACCGAGCGCTTTTCAGCTAAACGCGCGGTAATCTGCACGAGCGGAACATAACGCTCATCGGAAGATTCAGGTGTGTTTAGGCTTCTCGATCCTTTCATGTTGAGGGGATGCTTCACTCAATGGGCCTAAATTGTTAGCATGGGGTTCTGAGGTAATTACCCTAAAACCAAATAAAGTTGCTGATTACGGACATTGTTTTGCCCGTAGTTTTAATGTTTGGTTTGATTTCCCTACTTGAACAGGCATGGAGGTCCCGTTTCGTTTTGTCAGGTGTGCCCTAATGTGTTTGCGTGTCCCAGGTGCCCATTGAGCCATGGCAAGGGACATGGAAGCTCCCACAATTGGCCTCGGAAGCAAGTCTTCCATTTCGGGGTCCTGGCAGCTTCCATGTTGGTCCAGAGAGGGTGGTTGACTAGTGACTACTAGTGGCTACGGGCCACCAAGGACAGTCAGATGCCATTGATCTATGGCATCCGTTGGCTCTTGAGTGGATGATTTCTGCCTCGCAGGATTTCGAGAACAGCAGGCAATGCGCGAGGTCGGCCAAGGACCTTTGCCCGCGTGGTCGGCTTCGCACTCGCAAGTGAACGAGATCCGAGCCTCGAGATGATGGAAGACATGATGGTGGGTTCTGTCTTTTTGTGGGGGGACCTTTTTGGACTGGCTTTTGTTTAGGGGAAAACAAGAAACCAGGCTTTTTTGGGGGAAATCAACAAGAAACCAAGCAATCCAAGCATTGTGGTGCCTCGGTCCGCTTTAAAAAAAAGTAGAGAGACACGGATTGGCTTCCTGGGTTTTTGCTGGGGAAGCCGCCCTGGGGTCTTTAGAGAGCAACCAGGATGATTCGGCTGCAGTTAGCCGGTGCCTTCTGGTCCTTCGTTTGATCTGTAACCCTTGGGTGACCCGGGGTAGGCTGAGCAGAGAATTGCCATGCAAGCAAAGTGGAGATGAGAGTTCCAGACATGGAATGTCCGGCACTCGCAAACAATTGCTCCCCCCCCCACCCCTCCGCATTTTCTTCCATTTGCTTCAGAATATTTGCCATTGTCCCCTTTTTGTTTTAAAGGGACTCCTAATCGTGTCTCCTCATGTTTTTCCATGGTGGCCTGAGCACGCCACCGGCAGCTTGTTTTCTCGGGTTTTGCGAGGCTCGCCCGGCCGAGGCTCTCGAAGCGGGAAAGGACAGAAAGAAGAAGAACAAAGAAAACGAAATCGCCTCGGCAGGAGCTCTTCAGCACGGACCTGGACGAGGCCGGGGAGAGCTCCGCCAAAGACTTCCTCAGCTTCGTGCAGAAGGCGCGTTTCGGTTTCGGGGTGTCGAGGGCCTGTGGGGCGTTTTGGGAGTCCCTGAAATGGGCCAAATCCATCCAAATTTCCGGGGGCAGGGGGTGGGAAATTTGGAAAGACGTTCTTGATTGCTGGGTTGGTGCTTTACACCCTTCACTTTTCTGGAAATCGTTTGGGTTTTCCATTGAACCCACAAGAAGTGAAGCTGGTTGCAGAGGAGTTAGCAGCAAACCACCAGGATATGGACCTCGGGTTTTAGTTCTTGTTTCCATTTACCAGGATTAAGTACCGTCAAAATTATGTCCTCTAAGGGTCATGACCCCTCCAATGCAGACCCCCCAGACCGTTGAATGGAGAACCCCGACCCCCACGGGCCCTCAACAACCACCCATTTGGAGGGCGCATAACCGTCGGGACCCTTAGGGTCTGTTGAGTTTAGTATTCGGTGTTTCATTGATATTGTGAAAATACACAAAACCATGGCAAACGATGGGGGACTCTCAAAAAAACGATCCCCCTGCTGGAAAAGCATGGAGACGCTGGAGAACGATAGGGGACTCTCAAACAAAGTAGCGAAACGGCCGTAAGTAAGTAATTTCGACAGTGCCTCATGTGGTCTTGATATGGCACAGGGAACCACTTCTGCACGAGGAACCTCACACTGGAGAGAAGATGCCGGTCATCCCGATATGAGTTTTGACCCTAGCATTCCTTTCGATATCAAACGGGAGATTCTCGTACCCTAAAACCAACCCTAAACCATAAAGCAAACACATCATACTATAAGATATTCACATGCAAACGGTAATTAGAACAAAACACGTTAACACTTATATAAGAACGTAGAAAAATCACACGATGAGAAAGAGTTACTTGACAATGATATTTACAAGCCAAATATTTGTTTTAGACTACTAAAGATGTGTTTATCAGTATCTCTTTTTCATCGCGTAGCAGTGCGATACGAAGCCTGCAGCAGTCGGCGCCCCTCCCCAAGCCAAATGGAAAGAATACGCCAACTAGCGATGCTTAGACGCGTATACGCAATTATTGCAGTTATAGTTGGAGGTGAGACTCTTTTAGAATTGGTTGTTTTGCGGATCACTGGGGCGAAGCAGCGATCCAGTTTCCCAAGGAGTTTCTGCCCTGCCTCCAAACAACTACATGCTCAGGCTTGTTGAAGTCGCTGCCGCTTCATGTCAGCGTTTGTGTACCATAGGGACTTGAACTTAGGACAGTCGTTGAATTCCTGTGCTTTGCTATTGTTGTGACTTGCGTTCCATAGTGTTTGGCCGCACGGGCTTGTTTGCAATGTTTATGGAAATGATGTTGCCTTTCAGTTTCATGCGGGTAGATTTTGGCGGTGACTTTGCGACTTGGTGGCTGGACTGTATGCGGGGCATCGCCACACATCAATGGCTGTTTGTGGTAAGTAGCTGCGTACTGAGTACCGGTGAACTATATGCAACCTATCGCTACACATTGGCTCTTGCAGTAGCTTAGGCTGGGTGGTTCAAAATGGATCCTTAGGGGGTTTCGCTGGCTGTGTCCCACATTTCGATTGCGGATGAGGTATCCCCGCAATCATTTTGAACCACCCGGGCTTGCTCCTTTGAGCCTGTGGGAAAATTCCGCGAGCCGCGAATCATGCCAGGCGGAGCAAAATGAAGAGGCGGGGTGTCCGGGCGTCCTTCGTAGCGGAAAGTTGTTGGTCAGGGGGGTATATGTGAAGACTCCTGTCAACAGCAGGGCCCTTGTTGAGACAACGGGAACATAGGCTTAACACGAAGCCAAGTATGTACTACGAGGCGGCCTCACTGAAAACTGCGACAAATATGGATTCTAGTAAAAAGCCAGCGGACAGCTGGGGTATGGCTGGCTGGGTCCAGTCATTGCGGCTGTGTTTGCGTTTTGTTTTGTGATACCGTGGAACCTTTTTGTTACCCCCGGTTAAGCGAATAGCTTGTCATTGGAAGGGACGTTCCCAAGTGGTGTCAAAGTACAAAATCCTGACAACCCTGGAAAGGTCGTTGATGAATGACAATCCCTGAGTCACATCACCGGCTGTGCCGCACCAGTTCATCAATCAGTCCCCTGAACCGCTGAAGAGGTGTCTCAAAATAGGGAAACCGCTGAAGAGGTGTTTTTTCCCGGCTTTCATTGAGCCCCAAGAGGTGCGAGTAGCTTGCGCAGATGTATACACATAGCGATGCTCGCGAGCCCCAAGGGCCTTGCAACATTTCCCCTGCTTTGCTTTTTGCCAAAAAGCGCCCCGCTTTGCAGAGAGGACCGCTTGGGCTTGAAAGTTCTTCTCCTTTTCCATCTTGGGTCTTCTTGCAAAAACCCTCCCGCACTTTGAGCCTCCCCAGCCCCAGTCCCGAGAGATGCGACAACCAGTCTTCACATTGAATCCAATGCCAACCACAACCAACAACCGACCACCACAGCCACAACCCCCCCCACCCCGCCCCCCCACCCCGCCCCCCCACCCCGACCCCACGCCAACCCACGACCTCCCGCACCCTCCCGCGCCCTCCCCCCCCCCCCTCCCGCGCCACGACGCGGTTTTCGCGCGGCTGAGGACCTGCGCCGCTTCCGCGGCTTCGGGCTGCGCCGCGTCAGCGCGGCGCAGGCGCGGCAGAAGGCGGCGGCGCGGCGAGAGGCGCAGAGCGAGAGGCTCCGACCGGAGGGGAGCTGGGACCCTTGTTTTCCATCTTTTTCTGTTTAGTGTGTGTGTGTGTGTGTGTGTTGTTGTTTGTTTATTATGTACATAGAAGTATGTATATAACATGTTTTTGTAGCAAGAGGTTGTATATATCTATATATACATAGTGTTAAAACAACTACATAAAAAAGAGAAATGACAACAACCAAACAGACAAGACAAACACACGATGCTTGATTTGTTTCGAATACAGAATCATGGTTTAACAAAAAACTGCTTTACTTTTATTTATATTTTATTAACAACAACTTCTTCCTCACTTTGTTTGCGTTCAGCTTGTTGGAGAATCCATTTTAGTGGCAAACAAGCAGTTTGGACTTTTCCTGACCAATCCGTTCAGGAATTGAGCGAAGCGGGGAGACCTTGAATACACACGAAACACATGTTCTGAGACCTTTAGGGCAGGATCAGTGCATCCATTGCTTGTTTGGAGCATTGGAGCATGAGCCCAGTGGGAAAACTGCATGATCTAGACTTGCCACTCAAAGAGGATGTGCGCTTGCCGTGCAAGGTTTTAATTTGTGGCTGCCCCTAGGCTGGACCTGCTTTCGAAAAGTTATGTGGGTGTGGCTCAAAAATAGGAGGCCAAAATGGAGCCCTGGTACATGGACCGGTAGACTAAACTTGCGCAATCCCAGCTGTTCAATTGTGAGCCGCACCGCCCACTTGTGCTGGCCTGGCCTGGCCTGGCCTGCATTTGGTCAGTTGCTGTAGGCGTGAGGTTCTGGTTCACCAAGCATCCCCCACCCGCCAACGGGCAACATCTTCAAGGTCCGCGTCGCTGAGTCCCGACGGTCTCGGACCCTCAGAGCTGTGGTGTCAATGACTTTGATCAAGTCAAACGCAACTAGTCAGAGGAATCCATGTGAAGTCGGAGCCGCCGTTGATTCATTAGGGTGCAACTGATTCGAACCCAACGTTTCGCGGGCCCCGCTGCCAGCTTGGCAATTGAAGAACCCATCCCTTGGAGCTTGTATCCATAAAACGGTCTCAACAGTCAGCATGTTTGAATCGGCGGATTGGGCACCTTTTCAAGGGCTCCCGAGTATGCCCAGGTTTAGCTTTGTTTTTAACCAACCAGACCATAGACCACTGAAAAGGGAACCAGCATGAGGATGCTTCATCAAGTGACGTGTTGGCCCCGTGCCGCCACACATTCCCCAGGCAAACGCTTCCAGCGGGTTTTGTCACACTTGTTCAGGAAGCCTCGCCAGTTGCTTGCGACGAAGCAATCAGATATTCTGCTTTGGCAATGCTCCCTGGCTGCGGGGTTTGGTGTTCGCCTCGAGCTTTGTTGTGCTCGGCCTAATAGATGCAGAAAGGCAGGGAAGTGAATATGTTCTCCCCTTCGCAAGGATAGGGAGCTTCCACAACGAGACTTTGATTGGATTGTTGGTGGGAAGGGCGAACACATAGAGTTGTTTTGACTTGGTATGGGATGGTTAAAGCTGGCGCTGACGCATCAGGTTTCAGCCGCTTGCAACGAAAGGTTTGCACATGGATCACCTTCATTTTACAGGCTCAGAGATGCCGCATGCGAGCAAATGACAACGCACCTGGGCAAATCTGCTCCTCGGTTCGGGCAGGCCCCGCCAGGAGGGCCACCCAAACACCCCCCCACGTCCTTTTTTGGGAAACATCAGACAATTTCGTCATATGGAGAGTATTTCGTCCTTGTGAGGGGAACATTCATTTCCCTCCAATTTCGTCCTTTTTTGGGGACATGTGAAGAGTATTTTGTCATTCCCGTCAAGTCATTAAAACCCGCCCGTCCTGCAGTCACACCCTTCTGCCCTTGTTTCAGTTCGTTCCCCAGACAGAATTCACCGGGGGGCCCAACAACTCGCCTTATTGCCCTGGGCCAAAGGGGCCGGTGCAACAAATCAGACTCGTGGCTAGTCAACGGGACCATGCTTCAGTGGCTTCAACCCTTTTCCCCCAAACAGCACACCTGGAGGTTGACATTTTGACAAAGCAATTTGACAATTTGAAGCTTCTAATTGTCTTTGTAAACAATCGGCACTCGATGCATTTGGTCATCGCTCCACAGTGTATATCTCAACGGTCAATATTCACCGTCATCTACGGTAGTCAAGGGAAAGCATGGCTCTTACTGTGGATGGACGAAATCCGTTCGCACCACCTAAGAAACCCTGGCATGATGCCACTGTAAATATCCAACAAACATTTTTTTTCAACCATGGTTTCAAAGTGGTGCAGGATTTCGTGCACCCACAGCATTGGGGTGGGGCAACTTCTGCACTAGGTGGTTCACCCCGGTATTTGGGGTTACATCCATCCAGAATCGACATTTCTTGCCAGGCGTTTGATTTTGTGTATCTACGGTTAGGGGACACTCACTTGTCCCCTGGGTGGGTTGGGGGAAATCCCTCTTGAAAAAAGCATCCTCTTTCCAACCCCCCCTGCTGCATGCGATTTTTCGGTGCGGTGCGGCACTCGGAAACAAGGTGACCCCAAGACCAAAGACAGCAGCGGGTGCCTTGGCCAGGAACTTCAGGTGGTTCCTGGGTGCCCTGGGGTCGTTTCCTGGTGGGCTGTCTGAACCGGAAAGCAAAATTGGATGGAACCCCTTTTTCCGGGGGTAGATAGTAGGTGATTCTTCGGAGCCCGAGAAATCCGGGTTCCTGAGAATGGCCGGGGCAAGGTAGCATCGGATGGATACTTGGGAGCGGGAGAAACGGGTTCCTTGTTCCCGATCGCGATGTTTGGGGTTCCTGCGCCTGGAACCTTCCCTTGGACCACCCTTAGGGACTCCAGAACAAAAGGTGATAACAGTAAAAACCAAAATCCCAAAGGCGTACCCTTGCAAAAAAGGGAAACCCAGAGGACAACCCCCCCCTCCTGGCTAGGGAAGGGTGGCTTTTGAGCGTGTGGAATTGTGGGAGATGATGTATTTGCACTTCTTAAAGATGTCAAGTCGCCAGGGGCAATTCTGGGTTACTTTCTGCTTTCCCGTTGGTGACCAGAAAAAGGCGCCCTTTCCAGCATGGCCTGCTGGGCTGCTGGGCCGCGATGTTTGTCGCGCTACGCAAAATTGCGCGGCATGGGATGGGCGTGCAGTGTTGCAAGAAGACAACGGAATGGATTGTTTCATTGCAACAAATAGCAACCTATTCCACTGCCAAGAAAACATGGGCCTCGCCAGACCGAAGATTCGTTTGGGCGTTGTTTGAGATCCCTTTAAGATCACTCCAAATGGTTTTGGTCAAAATAGAGACGCCAATCAAGAAACTGGCGACGTCAGAAACTGGCGCCCCTGAAATCCCTGAAAGAAGCCACTCCAAATGGTTTTGGTACCCTCAAACACTTCTCAGAAACCAATCAACAAAAAGGATATCGCCGCCGGCAAGGCGCGGCCCATTTTTGTTTCTCGATCTTTGGGCGATCCGTCGGCGCCAGGCTGGTGATCATGACGATCTTCGAGGGTTTTGAGGTGCGAGAGGGGGTGGCCAGACAACAGACGGTGCCCTTGAAGAAGAAGGAGCAGTCGGAGGCGCTGAGCGCAAGTTGAACGGGTTGTGTCGTGTGTTTTGAGTTTGAGTTGGTACCCTTTTGGGGTTGGTCTCAAAGGACACCAATCAGAAACGCACCCGTTTTTGGGGCTTCCGAAATGTTGAGACGCCCAATTGAACAGCGGGCCACGCAGCGGGAGCAGTACCGTTTCCCAGGCTGACGAGGAGGCTGAGCACACAGTGGACTTTTCCAAGGATTACAAGGACACCGGCGGGGGTTGCGCACCTTTCCAGTTGAGGTGGAGTGGCATGTTGAAGTCGTAGAGTGGCATCGATGAGTGCCTTCGTGGATGACCTGCCAAGCAACCCTCCCAACATGCGGACATGTATCCGAGGGGTTTCTTCTGCCAGATGGGTGTTTGCTGGCTTTCTTTGAACAGATCAAATAAAACGCTCAGATTTCATGCGTCGAAGTGTTTGCTAGTTTTCCAGTAGCCAGGCAGGTCAGCTGCGCAGGGTGAGTGTCAACGACCCTCCTGATTTTGTCATTGTTGGAATCGAAGATCAACCAAAAGGGCTTATCATGGTACGTGCAATACTTTCCAATCGGCTTTGACACATCTCCCATGTTGTCGTATTGGGAATCCCGCTGCGTCCGATAGTTGTTGACAGATAACTTCAACCAGTGCAACCAATTTGAGTTTTTCTTGCACATCGGCGAACCCCCTTCACCAAGGGCGGGTTTTCTCCATTTGATGTCTCTCACCCTTTTTTTGGGGGAGGGTTCCCCTACTAAAATAGGCTGTACAAAACAGGGCACCCTTATTCTAACCTCTCTACTGGAGGACCTAGACAACCTTTTGGACGCTCAGGACAGTGTGAAGCAAGGGTACCCCGAGACAGAGCCTGCAGTCTTCGCGGTGCGCTGGGTGCAAGCGACGGACACCAAGGAGACGGGGTTAGATTTGCTGTGTAGCTTGTCCAGCGATGCGCCTATGCGCTTGTTCTTGTCTTCGCCGAGTTTCCCCTAAGACCTGCTTGTTTCTCTTTACGGGTGTTTATTAAATTGAAGAACAGGGGTCACCACAAAGAGCATGGGTTTTGTCCGCATTTCCCTTGAACACTGTCCAATATTGCATTTACTCCATTTCGAGACAGACCCAACTTAGCCAACACAAGGGCACATTTAGCGCGATCAACATTCACAGTCAAGCTTGTGGCAAAGGGAATGACATGTCAATGTGGTGCTGTGGTAGGTGTAGACTGCTACATAGCACAGACATGATGAGTGTATTTTTCCCCTCAAGAAAACCAAAAGATGTTTTTTTTCCCATTCAGCACCCAGGCTAGAAAACTGGTGGCAAGGCATCACAGCTCGTTCCCAGGGTGAACACAGACTGCCTGTCAAGTTGCTCCCTGCGACGCAAGAGAGCGACAGAGAGAGAGAGGGAGAAGACAGCAAAGAAAGAGAGATTGGTTTGTCCCCCAAATTGGCGCCGTCACGAAATGTTGCGGTTTCGATCGCGGCTCCAGCTGATCTCGAGAGACCTTCTTGAGACCATTTGAGACCATCTCTCAGTTCTTTGTCACCGGCTGAAGCTTTGAGGCCGAAGAATTCGGCGGCATTGTGCACCAAGCATGGTGATCGCCTGGAAGTTCGAGATAGTCTCGCACTTGCGAACTGGGCAACTGTGGCAGACAACACCTCCTAGGTCCCCCGGTAGTGCCCTTTTACCAACTCTTTTGGGGGAGGGTCAGGGTTCCCCTAAAATCGACAAAAAGAAAACAGTGGGTACCAACTTATTCTAACCTCTCAAATCCGGAGGACCTCGAGAGCTTCCGAAGCCTACTGAGCTGGCATGGGAGCCCTTGTCGAAACCTTCGGAGCTGAGACTCGTGCGATGCGCAGGAGCCGCCGCGCAGCCGCCGGGAGCTGCGCCGGGAGGAGGACTGGCCGTGGCCGCGAGTAGCGAGGTGGGGTAAGGTTTTGAGTTCGTGGGTTTCAGCTCCTGAGTTGTGGGGGATGAGGATTTCTCCATGGTCGCTGCCGAAAAGACGCCTTTAAATTTAGGGGTTTTCTGGTTCTTCCGCCCAGTTGGACGCCGATTCGCATAGGTGTCCTTTTTGGTTGCTTTGCTTAAAACATAGAGGGCGATTCCTGGTTTACGCTGGTGGTTGAATTTCATCTACCAGGGCCATCTATTTTCCGAAAAGTACACCTATGTTCACGGGATTTGTGGTCACTTCTTGGGGTGTGGTCGACATTTTAGTGGTAAACCGAAAGTTTGGGTGCTTGTTTGGGCACTCAGGAAGAGAGGGAAACTGCCGTGATGTCCGGGTCTTTTTTTTGAGAATACCTTTTCTGGGTGTTGGTTTAAAGGAAGACCAAAAGGGGGGGGTCCCCTTAAAAAAACAGGACACCCCCTTGCCCTACTTTGGTGCAAAGCTTCGTGAGATTGCACCATAGCAGGGGCTTGAAGTTTGGGGAGGTCCTCTTGGCAGCATTCGCTGGGATCCCTTGGCCAAAGGCGCAGAAAGGGACCAGGAGACCCTTTGTGCAGTCATCTTGCTCCTCCATTCGCCACGGCGCCATTGAATCGGTAAATTTAAACATGGGGCCATGACGTAATGAGTCTTGCCTGACCCAACTGCAAGCTGTTGGTGGATCCCACTCCTTGGAAGGTTTCATACAAAATGAGGTAGTCATCATTTTTTGATAATCATTGTTTTTTTTCTCACCAACCTTAAACACATGGATTAAAGCTTAAACAAAACAAAAAACACGAGTTGCTAGCTTTGTTGGAAGCGCAAGTCAAGGAACATATTATTCCTATACAATTTTAGCTTCTAAAGATGCATTTGATTCAGAATAAACTTCTTCCAAAGTCTTCCAAAAAGAAACATATTCTGTGATGAATTTCGTCGGCTCAAGAGCAGCCTCTTCCGAATCAGAATCCTGCCATCCTTCTAACGACTTTACCTGCAAAAGATTCTCGAGCAAGACTTCTTGGAAGGTATGGACCCGCTTTCGCTTGTGGGGTGGCCTTGTCTTGTTGTTTCTCAGCTGGGAATGACCCAGGGTTTTGCAATGAACCTTGACATTCTCGCAAAGGAAACCATAGGGGATGGTTTATAGGGATCATGCCCTCATTCCCTGCTGCGAACCAGCAAGTTGTTTGGTTGGTTTAAGGGGAAACCACAACGAACACAAGCCATTTTGGGGTTCCCCTGGTTAAGACCACCCCATCTGCGTGAATTCCGTAGGTGGGGTGATTTGGATCTGGTGGCTCGTCTCCGTGTAATTTGCAAAGCTCGAAAACAAGCCAGGCGTGTGATAATTGGCCCTTCTTGTGCCATCGAGGCTCCAGAGGGGACTTCCCACCGCATTGCTGGTAAAGTTCCATCAGAACTTGGCGGTCTGTAAAAAACAAATGGCCATGGGTCACAAGCCCGTACCCCACTGAAAATCCCAATCCCCACTAAAATAGACTCCAATAGGTGGTGCACCTACCCCAAAATGGTACCATTGGGTTTGACCCACAACCAAATTGGCGCAGGACAAGCGCGTGGTCTCAGTGCAATCCCTGGGCGCGCCCGCCCCGAACTGCGCGCACTACGCCAAGTCTGAACGCCTCGAGGCGTATGCAGCAATCCGAGATCTGGGGAGCCAACTGCCGTGGTTTGTCCACTTGACATGGTTGTTGTTGGGAAACAGTTTGACATTTTTGCTGATTGCGGTTTAGTGGGAAATCCAACCACTTGACTGCTAAACTTCAAATGTTCGCTCCCTTTCCAACGTCAGCCAAGTTGAAGCCATGCATCCATGAACCAAGAATTATGCTGGGTACGCCTCGAGCCAAAAGCGTTGTACTCAACAAACCAAAACCATGAAGCGCAAGGAAAACACTCAACCGAGGGGGGGGGGGTTAAATGAACTGACGCGAATTGAAACAGTGTCTCATCCCTGATCCAAACCGTGGATCGATCACACCATCAAGCGCCATGGAGTCTACCGAAATGGATTTCGAATAAGACCAAAGTGCAAAGCGGTCCGGATAGGGCCCCAATAGGCCTGTAAGTTTGAAGCCGAGATAGAAACGGTTCCAGAGACCCGCTTGAGCATGTACCACTCTTCTTTAAACAAGCCTTGTCTTTTCAAGAACCCAGGGCCATCTTGTTAAAACCAATTTTCTCTCACTCACCACCGCACCACTGACGAAGTTGCTTGGATGATTCAGCCGAGCCATATCAATCCATCTCGTTAGTGGCCTGTTAAGGAACCCCGTGTCGGTTGTGTTTTCCTCACAGAAGTGTGTTTAGAACCCTTCTTAGACTTCTAAGAACCCTTCCTGGGTTCCCTACGTTAAATCGAGTGGTACAAGTTTCAAGTGGCCCTTAGTGCTTTTTTGTTTAAACAGTTTGCTTGCCCTCGAGCCCTCGGGTTCTCATTTCTCATATTTCCACTGGTAGCTGTGGATCCGGACAATCAACATAGCCACCGTGATGAACCAAGAGGCCCCGAGCTACTTATGCCATTGAATGGGACAACATGACTACAACTGACCTCTCAAGATTCGTAGGCACGGCCATTGCAAGCATCGGTTGGAATCGCCTCCCCCCATCATCAAATCGACCCCTGTGAATACACAAATTTCGTTGGGTGCAACAATGCAAAATATCACATCGCTCCCTTTGCTTTTAACTGTCCCAGTACTAAACCAACACTAAGCTTCTGACAGCCCTGTCCGGGGGGGAACTTTCAGCGCTTCCCTTGTTCAACAACTACCCAAAAACAGGAAAACGCGAGGCCCGGATTCGATTCAAGTTTGTATTGAACAGGTAAACAGGAAGTTCCAGGTCGTCTACAATACAATTGCACATCCAGTCCTCCAGTGGCCAGTGGTACATTTCCCTAGGGAAAAAGAGGGGATCAGTGGGACCCGGACCCTATCACTACATACATAGGCGGAAGAGAGCCTATTATTCACATTGTCGGGATGTGTTGTCTTTGCAGATGGAAGAGCCTTGGGGGTCACGATCTTGTAAGCCATTTGCAAAACTGGTGTAGAGGAACATACTGTTTGAAGGGATGATCCACATAGTTCTCTCTTTGTCAGAGGTAACGACCCCAGCTGGAGAGTTACGAGTTTGGCCAAGGATTGTGGTTGCTGCTAAGAACAGCCTTGCCCGAGGCTTCTTGGATGTCAGGCTTCTTTGGCGTCGAGGGGTACATGTGTCAATGGGTTGCCCAAGTCATCGAAGCAATTTTGGCTTTTTGCGAGTAGAAACAACCATACTATCCCAAGATGAGCATGCTGCAATGCAAACATGCCAGTGAGGCAGCTGTCAATGCGGCTGTTGCAATGTCAGTCATTGAGCCCTATGGCCATGATCCAAGGAAAACTTCTGCAGATGCTTGGCTGCTTTGCTTTCTTGAGCAAATTGGGGCAAATGGGTGTGGGTCAAAACCAACGGTACCATGTTGCACCACCCATTTTAGAACCTACTTGTTCGTGGGGATTGGGATGTTCACTGGGGGATAACCAGGATTTTCACCCATGGCCAAACGGCAACACATGTGTTTTGTCAGGGGTGCTGCAGTCGACATTGCCTGAAGTGCAGGCTCCTGGCGAGCGTCACGGCTACCGGATCTACTGAGTTTACTTTAAGAGAGCCGCGACTGTTAGCCTTTGAAAAGCAGCCCGGATGGCTTCGCTCGTATCGACGTCAGACAAGCCGGGTGAAGAGATGTTCAGCACGCAGCATGCCCGTTACTCTTTGGCTCCTCTTCCCTTCAAGCGTGGCGCTGACTTGTTCAGCATTGTCAAATGCCGCCTCTTTGGCTATACACTGACCACATGCACATGTAGCACGTACGTATGATATGCATATTTGGAGGTGCTTAAAATATATATATATATATGTATATATATATATTCTTCACATACATACACATTTGTTGGTACGGATACTATATATAGAGCTATGTGGGATATTTCCTAGAAGTCCACTCGGGGGCAAATTCCCAGAAGTACAACGGCGCCGTTGCACAGTGCCTTGCTACGCAACTCCAGGCCAAAGTTCGGATCAGATGGCGGAGCTCTGTGAAATATTTGATCAAAAGGCTTGGCAGAGGGACACGGGAAACCGTGTCCTTAGGAAATAAAAGTGGTCATGATGTGTCCTCTCGTTTGGTTATGGAAAGGATGCAAATTTCTATCACCTCTGCACTTGAATATACGTATAGTATATATATATATACATATATAGTTATACATATTATGCAAAAAAAGAACAATACGCACACAGGCACGTCTCTGTATTTGTTATATGTAAACATACATGCACACATACATGTGCAGGGGAGTGCAGTCCTGAAAAAATCGCAGTTGGCCTCCGAACATGGTCCTAGTTCAGCTCTAGTACCCTCTTGGAGTCCACTCTATGGCCGGATCTTTCGCCTGGATCTCTCCCATCGAAATTAATTCGGAGGTCCGCGCGGGCTGAGGCCCGGAAGGCCCAGGGCTAAACCTCGAACTTGGGCGATGGGGCTGGTTTCTTGAACAGGAGTCCTATTTCTAGGTCGAGTGTGAGCATGTGTGAGGATTCCCCAGCGTTTTCCTTTGAGCCAAGCGCCCGCGGCAACTTTGACACTTGGCTCTGCAGTTATTAAGGTAGCTTGACCTAGCTGCCGATCACAGAAGAAGAAGAAGAAAAAACAGCGCTTGCACCCGTTTCGACTCACAAATGGGTGGAAAGACCTGACTTGCCCGGACCCTGACCCACTCTTCGGAATATTTAAATCTTTTAGATGTTGGTGGCCTTTCTGATTTTTCCCATCAGTTTCTAGGGTTATAACCCACTCCAGTCCACAAACCGACCGAGAGCTTGGCTCTCGCCTTGCCATGTCGGTCTGCGGGGTGCTGACCTGGCTCGGGCACAAGGCGCTCGGGGCAACTGAGACGCTCGCCTGAGCCCTTTGCACATCGCCCGCTGGGTGTCGTTTCTTGGACTTGCGGGGAAACCAAAAGGAGACCACCGGTTTTTTGGCGGCTTTTGAAAGGAAAGCCAGCGCAAGCACCAGTTTTCGGAGTTGGTACTGGGTTTTGAAGGGGAAACCAAAAGGAAAACTGGCATTGTGGGGGAGGGGGGTCCCCTAAAACCAGACATGGGTCAAAAGGAAACCGCCTGGATAGGGACCGCAGGTTTTGGTCCTTTCCATTAACCAGGGCAGCCATTTTGGGGTCACCCTATGTTGACCAACTGGGGGAGATATGGTGGGGTGAAGGGGGGAAATGTGTGGGCTGCAGTTAGACGTTGGGCAGAAACCGCACTCATCAAAGCTTGTGGTCAAGGCGGTCGGAGCAAGCGCTAAGGCGTCTTGATTACTTTGAGCGACTGCTGGTGAATCCCATCTGCCCCGGCCTTTTGGCAAGCTTGCATAGAGCCAGGATTGTCTTTATTCTTGCAATGTGAGCATAGCGTAAGCTACGTTACCATCTTTGTGGAGATCCTTCAGGGTGACCTAAGAAGGGATTCTGCAAGCTGCACCCGGTTCCTTTTGCCTTCCTACGTGCTTGTCTAAGGCCATTATTTTAAGCTGCACTCAGTCCCCTCTTTTACTGCTACCTGTGTGTGCTTGTGCCCTGGCTATTGTGCAAGTGGGGTTTATTGCTCTTGACCGAACACTCCGGTGACTTTTGTAAGATATTGAGACCAGCCTTGCCTGCGCTGTGTGTTTTCCCTGAGCCTATAGGGACAAACTTGGTGAGGTCGCGGGAAGGCCAAGGGGATAAGCTAGGATTGAGGGATCCGTCTGTCAATCCTGGGCTTTCATCACATCGGTTTCTGAGGGACAGACCAATGGTTTCCCTTTGGTTCCCTTTACCACAACCCGAATCAGGGTGCCCTCAAAAAACCGCCACCCCGCGCATTTCTTTTCTTTTGGAGCCCTCGAGGGTTCAAAGCCACGTGAAAAAAAACTTCCTCGCCTTTTACCTTATCGGGAGGTTTCGCACCTCTGAGGTGCAACTTTTGCAGGTCTTTGCTATATGCGGTTTTTTGGTTGCGCCTTTTGCACGGGAGAGAGACATCAGGACAAAAAAGAGATGTTCGCAGTCTGAAGCCCGAGAAGGCTCCTTGAGCTGTCCGCAGTGACCGTGGGAGTTGTTTTTTGTTTAAACGGCCAGCTAGCAGATGTACTTTGAGGATGCCACTTTGAAGGACGGCGCATACACACTTCCTCGGAGACTTCAAAATGACCTCCGTACATTTCCTTCCCCCCCCCCCCCCAAACAAAGTCAAACAATGCCCCCCCCCCCACCCACCCCCATCCCCATCCCCGCAGAAAGCAACAACAACAAACACATGATTAAGCGTGGCAACTTTGGTGCCTTCGGTCAGGAGACCTTTGTGGAGAATGGCCGGCGCAGCGATGGCTGGGACTTGGAACACCACGGCTTTTGCCTTTTGGAGGATCTCGAGCGGAGAATTCGGGCGGCCCCAAGGCATCGCACGACTTGATTTATCAAACATTGAACCCCTTCCAACTCCTGGTTTCTTTTTGGTCATGTGCAAGTATCCCAAAGGGCTTTCTTGGTGCTCAGTGGGGAATGAGTTGGAATGAACCCGGATATTCCCTGAAAGGAAACTTGCAGTTGGACGGTTTATCGGGGTAATTTCCTCATTCCCTGCTGAGCAGCGGCAAGTTACTGTCCGGATGAATACACCCTTCCTACTGACGACTTTAAAGAGTGGTTGCAACCATTGTTTGTTGGAATCTACAGGGGAATCATGATTCTTCCCACTGAACCCAGGAACACCCCCCTGTTGCTGTATTTGGGCTCAAGCGCAAAGAGTCCCTAGCCTAAACATGGACTCACGGGGTCAAGGCCTCACGCACCAAGGGACCCTGTGAGGCTTTGACCCCCTTTCAATTGGGAAGGCAAGAAAGGCTAGGTCCCCCAGTGCCCTTTCTCACCCCTTTTTTGGTTGGGAGGGTTCCCCTACTAAAATAGACTACAGAAAGAAGGGTACCCTTATTCTAACCTCTGTACTGGAGGACCTAGAAGGGGAAAGACCTGATTGGACAGTTGTTCTTTTTGCAGAGGGCAATGATAAGGGGGTTCCGATTTGATGATCATCGTTTTTTCTTGCAAACGCACGCCTGCATGCGTTCGGAGACGCGCGCCGCATGTGTTCATTTCGCTGCGTTTGTGGGTTCCGTCGTTGGTTATCAGAAGAACTCTTCAGCGCTGAGGACCCTACCCCCTGCCCGTCTTGAAGTTTGGCTGAAGAATTCCCAAACCAACCCAAAACAGCCCAAAATAAAACCCAACCCTTTAAAACATGGCCAAAGACTGTGACCTTCCTTTTCCAAACCTTCCAAAAACCAAGCCTGTCCAACCCCAAAACCACCCACACCTTCCAAAAAACATGGCCAAAGTGAGTGAACTTCCTCCCTGCCTGTTCTTTCTTGCTTGGGCGGGGGCTTTGGCCTCCAGACCGGTTGACCCGTCCCCGCCTTAAGCTTCCAGGACATGCCCATGCCCCTGGACGAGCAGAAGCTCAAGGCCCCCTGCTGCGGGGGGTTCCGCTGCTCCCGGCCAGTGCTCTTCGGCTTCAAGGACTGGGAGGCGTCCACCTGGCTCTTGGCCAGCGATCGGACCCCATGCACGTGCGATCGGTGGAATTTCAGAGATGCAGGGAATATGAGAAATGGATTCTGACCGGGAATGAGAAGAAATGGAATGCCCCCAACTAAACCATCCAACTTTAAGGGGATTCTTAGGTTGATTTCAATTTATTTCCGGCACAAACCTGGGATTTGGTGAAAACCCGTGGCCGTGTAGACCCACTTGTCCTGGTAGGTTCCCCATGTACCATCATTCGTTTTGAACATCTGGTGTTTAGAAGCTGTTCTTTTGCGGCTTTCTGAAAAGCAGGTTCCCTGGTGTAAGCATGCGCACCCTGTTTGTGAAGTTCTGAAATTCGGGGGGCGGCCATGACAACCACCAAACAGGATCTAGATTCAACATGCTTCTTTATGAAGAAACCATGTGTCCGAGGGTGCAGGGGCCATGGGGCACTATTGAGCCAAATGTCCTCTTGATCGTGGAACAACATGTGTGTACTTCGTTTGGATCCTATAAGATAGAATCATACATATATGGGAGTTGTCCGAAAGGTCCTGTTATTCAGGTATGAAGGAGAAGACCTTTTTGTCTTAGTGTCGCCCTTCGCTGTCGTAGTGCAAAGGTGGGACTTTGAAGCCGGACTGCGGAATTGTACTTTGCGCAAGACTTTTGTGATGAATGTTGTGAGACTATCCCGCGATAGATCCACGAAGGAGGCCGCAAAAGCTATGGTTCTTCTGCGAAGATGGTGTTAGTGACATGACGTATGACACACGTGGCCAGACATATGACAGATGAAACACCCATGGTATTACGCTTTTGTGGGTGAGCCACAATCAAAACCCGGGTAAGTGAAGGTTAATAAGGACAGTCCCAGCCATAAATAGCTTCGGCCGCCTTCTTAATTAGTTACATGGTTCTGGGTGGACCATTTTCATGCCAGGTTTTGATTGTCACTCGGGTGATGTTTGCGTTCCTTTGGATGCCGGCTGAGTGTCTTTTGGGATGAAAGCGGTTGCGTAGCAGCAAGGGAAGTCCGGCCATTTCCGGCACCGCCATTCCTTGGGCGGTGCCTCGTGTGTGTGTGTGTGTGTGTGTGTGTTTTTTTAATTCATGGGGGGCCAAAGGGAACTCAGAGATGTGGGTATGGGTGAAAATTAAACCGCCAGGATATGAACCCCAGGTTTTGGTCCATTTTTCCATTTACCAGGGTTTCATTAGGGTTACCCATTTTTGACCCACAGCCCTAGGACAAAATCCACTTCGCGCCACTTATCCCAGTTTTCACACGGTTTCGTCCATTGCAACTGGTGGGATTTGTCCATCCACAGTAGGCGGCTCCTTATCTTTGCAAAGTTTCAGCATCACGTGCCCAAGCGGCAGGACAACCAGGCTGTATTGCTGACCACGGAAGCGCGTGAGGAGCGGAGAGGTAGCTGTAGGGCTTTTGCTTGCCCTTTTCCCCATGGGAGGTGTTGAGACTTCTTCTTTTTTTCGGCCCCGCGCAATAGCCTGTGATTCACGTTGTGAAGACTTGCAAAGGGCTGGTTTGGAACGGTGGATATTTTACGCCGCCTGCGCGGATTGGCCCCAAGAGGGGAATGGTGTGGTCAAATCTTTCAGATGCCCCATGAGCGGTATCGCACTTGGCGTCCCACAGCGGGTGGTGGAAGCATTGATTGGTGCCCAAATAGATGTGTGAGTGGGTAAAAGCTCAGCAGTCACGTCTGGCTTCGAAACGCTCACATGTGAAGAGGGATCAAGCAATGATAAGGCTCATGACAACGATGATGGTGACAAGTTTTCCAGATTCATTTAGGGTTCATTGCTGCATCATGTCCCATTTCCAGTTGGTGTGATGGGTTCTGATTTTGCTCCATTCAGAATTGCTTCCTGGTGACCTCCTCCACTAAACTTTAGCCTGGGATCTAGACATTGTTCGGTATGCCTGAAAGGAGTCCAAAAGGACATGGATCTGCCTATTTTATCGCGAGCTCAGCGATGGGGGGAAAACGAGCTAAAGCCATGATAAAGGTCCTGTACTTGGGCATCCAATTCTTAACTCTGCTTTGTGGAACTACAGTATTTGCAGATGGATTATATTAGGAATCATTCACCCCCCACTTTTTGGCACCCGGATAAGGGCAGTCACTTGGTTCCACGGTAGGCATGGAAACACGCAGCAGCAGCACAGGAAACAGAATAACCCTACTGGCCACGGGCGGTTTTACTGGGTTCATGGAAGTTTCAGTGCCCAGGTAAAGGTAAACCTAGACCTTGATAGAAGGACAGATGAATGTACCGCTTTTGTCCATGTCAGCGGTCACATTCCACTGGCCATGCCGAACGTTTGCACCAGGCACGCAGGAAGCAGTGCAGCGGGTGGTGGGTGATGTTTGGCACTGTAGACACACATGAATGAGAAGACACAGAGACAAGGCTAGAGCAACAGGTTTTTGCCCCGCGGTCTCTTCCAACATTCATTAGGCAAGAGCCCCACCCCATCCTTTATATAGCGGGCCATGGTTGTTTGGTGCGTGCGTGCGTGCGTGCGTGCGTGTGTGTGTGTGTGTCCATGTATGTGGCAACCCTTTGTGGGGCCTTTCGAGTGGTTGCCAGAACCTTTCATCCTGCCTACTCAGTAAGTTCAACTTACCGAGATGGGGGGGGGGAAACCGCCAACAACAAAAGCAAGGTTCCCTTCAACCTGGAAATCCCAGAATTTTGTGTTTCACCTACAACGGGGTGGGGAGGGGGGGTAACTCAGCCCGGTCAGGAGTCCTTTGGTCTCGGCACCTGGCTGGGCTACTACCAGCACATGGCTCAGGCGGCGAAGAAGGCCTTCCCAGAGGCGAGTGGCATCTGCGACCTGCGAAGTGCGGATTCTTGAGACTTGTCGGTTCCCAGCCTTGGGTTTCTAGGTAGGTTTGTTGGAAACAGGTAAGGTGGCTTTTTTCTTCCCAGCCATCCGCTTCAAGTAAACGCTTGTTGGAGGTGTTTTTAAGTGTTTTAGCCAGAAGTTGCACAACTTTTAGCAAATCTGAGGACAGCCCAGAAGAACAGAAGCTTTGATAGGAAACCTCTTGCTTGGTAAGGAGGTACTTAGACCGAGCCATGACTTACCCTTCAACCAATCAGGTCAAAAGCCAGGCACCGTAAGAGACTGGACTGTTTGCCGATCTTTGGGCTGGGGAATCGCCTTGTGGAAGGGGGCCACCCCTAAGCCAGCACTTGGATTAGAGTCATTCCCTTTCCTGAGAACCAGACCTAGTTAAACCCAAAAAAACATGTCCCAACCCAAATAGTTGGGCCCTTTGCTTTGTTGTCACTTTTTGTTAAATCAGGGCCAGGAAATCCTCACCATAGGTGGTTTGCACATGACCTTTTGGGCCAGTGTAAAGTGAGGTGTCTTTGTCAGTGACGGACGCTTAAAGGGGCATGTGGGAGGTTGGACATGCTTGCCAAGCTACAAAAGTACCAAATTTGGTCAGGGCTCCTTAAAAGATACATGTTGCAACCATTTGAAACATGTTGCTTTTTCAACACCAAAATAAAGGGACACCACCATTTACAAAGCAATGTTCAGGTGTACAATGCATCCGGATCCCTGTTGGTATAGACTCCTTGCGCCCTCGTGCCAAGGGCTTTGAAGCAACCAGCATGGTAGCTTCACTAGCCGCACGGGAACCCGTAAAAGCGAAGAATCACAAGGGGACAACCCCCCAATCAGAATCCACCAGGGATTTTTCGGGGTGGATTTAAAGGTCCTTGACGTGGGATGGCCACTGGGGAAAGCCACAAAACATGACGATATGCCACACCAAGTGGGAAAAGTTGGTCGTTTGGGGCCAGGAAGATTGATCAACCCCCAAGTCAAGATGAGCAGTTCGGACGCCCGATGTCAGAACGAATCATCTGGTTGCTGTCGTTCGGTGTGGAGGATCGATCCGAAAGGGGTCGGTACCTAGCCGACACACCCAACTGGACACTTTCCCGCCCTCTGCGCTCATGAATCGATGTTGCTTTTCTGGTTGCTGCGGAATACTTGTTTTGGGTTGGTGAACTATCATATTATAATTCACTCAGATTCTATCATGACGCCAAACTCAAGAGGCGAGCTCGCTTGGGATTTAAAACGGGCGACGAAGGTCATGTTCTTGGCCCCTCCATTCTTTCAGGGAGTAGAACTCGACACAGTTGCGCTGGGTGCATTCAGGTGAAGTTTTCGGGGGTTCTCAAAGTTGCTTTTGGGGCCCCTCAAGACAAACAAAGCAAGGAGGACATTTGATGATGTTCTGTAATGGATCCACAGGCAAATGCAGTTGTCCTTTCTGTGGGACGCCTGGAGGGTTTGATCATCCAAGTTGCCCTCCAGGCAGAGTACGTTGCTTTGCCCGGGCACTCCATTTTCTCCGCAGAGCTTTCGCCGCTCAGGCGGCTTGAGTCTGCCTCAAAATGGGGAGGTGTCTGAAAGTACTCTAAAAATGGGGGGGGGGGGTCCTTCGAGGTTACTGTATCTAGGTCCCCCAGCTAGTTGCCCTTTCTCACCCCTTTTTTGGTTGGGAGGGTTCCCCTACTAAAACAGACAGAAAAGAGTTGCTACCCTTATTCTAACCTCTCTACTGGAGGACGCAGTTAATGTCCCCGAATTGAATGGATGTGTGGGTGTGTCTCTTCTAAGGCGGACCGCCTGGTTGTTCAAAATCAATCCGTAGTCCTTATGCCGGAATTCCCAGATTCGCATCGGGGATCCCGGCATTTTGAACCACCCAGGCATATTACTGCTTTGTGGTAATTTTAAAGGACAGAGGAAGCAAGCCATTTGAAGCGGACCGCTTTAAGGCATACCCAAAGTGGGGATGTGACCCTAGTTGTCCATATAGGGGTTCAACTCGGTTGAGAAGCGCAGTGAGGGTCCAACCATCTCAGGCGATAGGAACAGTGGGGTCTGCCACTGGCGTTTTACTTGGAATTGCATGTGTGAGGTATGATAGCTACAGCTTGTTGTCATGCTGAAACTAGCGTCCAGGAGCGGGCGAGCTGCTTGCGTGCTTGCGCCGTTCTGTTGGAGTGTGTTTGGTATGTTGAGACCCAACGGGACCTGGCATGCGTTGCACTGATTTGTACTGACTTCCTCCATGCAATGCCTTCGGGCCTTGAAATGCACGTAGCTCTGACTTTCCGTGCTGATACTACCAGGGAAGCTACCCATCATGCCCTGAAAGTTGCTGCACATGGTAGGATTGGAGGCCTTGGTGCTTGCCCGTCTGAAGAGCACGGGGACATCCGAGACGTTTTCCAGTGTCCATTCCTTCGATCTCTTCTCTCAGGTGCCCACAGGTCTGTTATCCCTTCGGGATGGTCACTCCCCATGGGGAATCGGACTTTTCGGTGCCCAACCTTGGAACAGCCTGGTTCTCCGAATTCCATTAAATTGATAAAATAGAACCATCCAAAGGTGGTGTTCCTTTTGGTTTCAAAAGGAAAGCGATCCTCAAACTCAGCGTAGCCGACTGGGGTATTTTCCATGTGTGGCTCGTTTCTTCTTTTTTTCTCAAACGAAACCATAAAGGACACCGAAGCCCATTTTCGGGGGTTCCGATTCCTTAGAGAGAAACCCGCGCCCCTTGAACCGTTCCGCAGGGGTGCCAGATCTCCAGCGGTGGAGCCTTAATGTTGACCCCGGATTAATAAACCCCGGGTTGATTAATAGGGGCGTCCCCTTCTAGTGGGAATTCATCACTTTTGGAGGGAACACCCCCGTAATAATGGGACGGGTTTATTCATTCTGGGTAAACATTATTCCCCCAGTCGTTGTTGGAGGGGGTTGGCCTATAAAAAGAAGAGACTCCCTTGCAGTTTGACGTGGAACCCAACAACCGCCAGTTCATGTCGAAGCTCCTTTTGGTCCATGAATTTCCCCGCCGTTCTGGATTCCATGTATAAATATATATGTATATACTTTAGAGCCTCCGGCTCAGTCCGCCGACATTGTCCTCTCTCTTTTCTCCTTCTTCCTCTCTTCCTTGTCTCCCTTGTGTGTTCTGTCGTCCTCTCTCCCTCCCTCTGCTCCCATCCTCCCCATCCCCCCAAGCCTCTCTCTCCCCAATCTCCCTCTCTCGTATGTATGTATGTATATGTATGTATGTATGTATGTATGTATGTATGTATGTATGTATGTATGTATGTATGTATGTATGTATGTATGTATGTATGTATGTATGTATGTATGTATGTATGTATGTATGTATGTATGTATGTATGTATGTATGTATGTATGTATGTATGTATGTATGTATGTATGTATGTATGTATGTATGTATGTATGTATGTATGTATGTATGTATGTATGTATGTATGTATGTATGTATGTATGTATGTATGTATGTATGTATGTATGTATGTATGTATGTATGTATGTATGTATGTATGTATGTATGTATGTATGTATGTATGTATGTATGTATGTATGTATGTATGTATGTATGTATGTATGTATGTATGTATGTATGTATGTATGTATGTATGTATGTATGTATGTATGTATGTATGTATGTATGTATGTATGTATGTATGTATGTATGTATGTATGTATGTATGTATGTATGTATGTATGTATGTATGTATGTATGTATGTATGTATGTATGTATGTATGTATGTATGTATGTATGTATGTATGTATGTATGTATGTATGTATGTATGTATGTATGTATGTATGTATGTAATGTATGTATGTATGTATGTATGTATGTATGTATGTATGTATGTATGTATGTATGTATGTATGTATGTATGTATGTATGTATGTATGTATGTATGTATGTATGTATGTATGTATGTATGTATGTATGTATGTATGTATGTATGTATGTATGTATGTATGTATGTATGTATGTATGTATGTATGTATGTATGTATGTATGTATGTATGTATGTAATGTATGTATGTATGTATGTATGTATGTATGTATGTATGTATGTATGTATGTATGTATGTATGTATGTATGTATGTATGTATGTATGTATGTATGTATGTATGTATGTATGTATGTATGTATGTATGTATGTATGTATGTATGTATGTATGTATGTATGTATGTATGTATGTATGTATGTATGTATGTATGTATGTATGTATGTATGTATGTATGTATGTATGTATGTATGTATGTATGTATGTATGTATGTATGTATGTATGTATGTATGTAATGTATGTATGTATGTATGTATGTATGTATGTATGTATGTATGTATGTATGTATGTATGTATGTATGTATGTATGTATGTATGTATGTATGTATGTATGTATGTATGTATGTATGTATGTATGTATGTATGTATGTATGTATGTATGTAATTATGTATGTATGTATGTATGTATGTATGTATGTATGTATGTATGTATGTATGTATGTATGTATGTATGTATGTATGTATGTATGTAATGTAATGTAATGTATGTAATGTATGTATGTATGTATGTATGTATGTATGTATGTATGTATGTATGTATGTATGTATGTATGTAATGTATGTATGTATGTATGTATGTATGTATGTATGTATGTATGTATGTATGTATGTATGTATGTATGTATGTATGTATGTATGTATGTATGTATGTATGTATGTATGTATGTATGTATGTATGTATGTATGTATGTATGTATGTATGTATGTATGTAATGTATGTATGTATGTATGTATGTATGTATGTATGTATGTATGTATGTATGTATGTATGTATGTATGTATGTATGTATGTATGTATGTATGTATGTATGTATGTATGTATTGCAATGTATGTATGTATGTATGTATGTATGTATGTATGTAATGTATGTATGTATGTATGTATGTAATGTAATGTAATGTATGTATGTATGTATGTATGTATGTATGTATGTATGTATGTATGTATGTATGTATGTATGTATGTAATGTATGTATGTATGTATGTATGTATGTGTATGTGTATGTATGTATGTATGTATGTATGTATGTATGTATGTATGTATGTATGTATGTATGTATGTATGTATGTATGTAATGTATGTATGTAATGTAGTAATGTATGTATGTATTGTTTGTATGTATGTATGTAATGTATGTATGTATGTATGTATGTATGTATGTATGTATGTATGTATGTATGTATGTATGTATGTATGTATGTATGTATGTATGTATGTAAGTAAGTAATGTAATGTATGTATGTATGTATGTATGTATGTATGTATGTATGTATGTATGTATGTATGTATGTATGTATGTATTAATGTATGTAATGTATGTATGTATGTATGTATGTATGTATGTATGTATGTATGTATGTATGTAATGTAATGTAATGTAATGTAATGTAATGTAATGTAATTAAATGTAATGTAATGTAATGTAATGTA